CTTTAAAGTAGCTGTAATTAAACCTCTTCTGAAAAAGCCCAAACTTGATCCGGATGTTTTAGCCAACTATAGACCTATATCTAACCTTCCATTTCTCTAAGGTTCTGGAGAAAGCAGTTGCTAAACAGCTGTGTGACTTTCTACAGAGCAATAGTTTATTTGAGGATTTTCAGTCAGGATTTAGAGCTCATCATAGCACAGAGACAGCACTGGTGAAAATTACTAACGACCTCCTTATTGCATCAGACAAAGGACTTGTCTCTGTACTGGTTTTATTAGATCTTAGTGCTGCATTTGATACCATTGACCATCAGATCCTATTGCAGAGACTGGAATATTTCATTGGCATTAAAGGAACCGCTCTAAGCTGGTTTAAGTCCTATTTATCAGATCGATTTCAGTTTGTACATGTTAACGATGAGTCCTCCATGCACGCCAAAGTTACTCATGGAGTTCCTCAAGGATCTGTCCTCGGACCAATCCTCTTCACTTTATATATGCTTCCTTTAGGCAATATTATCAGGAAACATTCCATAAGCTTTCATTGTTATGCAGATGATACTCAGTTATATCTATCGATCAAGCCAGATGAAACTCATCAGTTAGCTAAACTTCAAATGTGCCTTCAGGATGTTAAAACCTGGATGACCTGTAATTTTCTCATGTTAAACTCAGATAAAACTGAAGTTATTGCTCTGGGGCCTAAGCACCTCCGTGACGCATTATCTAAAGATATAGTTTCCCTGGATGGCATCGCCCTGGCCTCCAGCACCACTGTGAGGAATCTTGGAGTTATCTTTGATCAGGACATGTCGTTTAAGTCTCACATTAAGCAAATTTCAAGGACCGCCTTTTTTCACCTACGTAATATTGCGAAAATCAGGAACATCCTGTCTAAAAATGATGCAGAAAAACTAGTCCATGCATTTGTTACTTCTAGGCTGGATTACTGCAATTCCTTATTATCAGGCTGCTCGAAAAAGTCCATTAAGACTCTTCAGCTGATCCAGAATGCTGCAGCACGTGTTCTGACAGGAACCAGGAAAAGAGATCACATTTCTCCTGTTTTAGCTTCTTTGCATTGGCTTCCAGTAAAATCCAGAATAGAATTTAAAATCATTCTTCTTACCTACAAAGCTCTTAATGGTCAGGCACCATCTTATCTTAAAGAGCTCATAGTACCTTACTACCCCACCAGAGCACTGCGCTCCCAGAATGCAGGGTTACTTGTGGTTCCTAGAGTCTCCAAAAGTAGACTAGGAGCCAGAGCGTTCAGCTATCAAGCTCCTCTCCTGTGGAACCAGGTTCCAGTTTGGGTTCAGGAGGCAGACACCATCTCCACATTTAAGAGTAGGCTTAAGACTTTCCTCTTTGATAAAGCTTATAGTTAGGGCTGGCTCAGGTGAGTCCTGAACCATCCCTTAGTTATGCTGCTATAGGCCTAGACTGCCGGGGGATTTCCCATGATGCACTGAGCTCCTCTCCTCTACTTTCTCTCCCTCTGTATGCAACCTTATCCCATTATTGCATGTTACTAACACAACGTCTCCCCTTTCTGGTAGTCTTGTGCTTTCTCGTCTCTCTCCTCTCTCCTATCACTTCCTGCAGGTGTTTCTGGCTCTGGAGCTGTGGAGTCTGGATCTGTGGTTGCGGGTCACCTGCTGCCCCCGTGTTCCTGCTCGACACCCTCTGCTGCAACGACTATTGTTGCTAGTGTTATTGTTATTATTGTTATTATAATCATTAACATTACGATGGTTACCATTAACACTATTATAAATATCTGTACCATTTTTCATTTAGTCTATAGCAACATTACCTTCACTGTGTGTACCTCTGTGTGTATATTGTGTAGGCTGCCTCCCTCCCCTCTCTCTCTCCTTACATCTCTCTCTCCTTACATCTCTCTCTCTCTCTCCTTACATCTCTCTCTCTCTCTCCTTACATCTCTCTCTCTCTCTCCTCTCTCTCTCTCTCTCTCTCTCTCGGCCGCCCACCCTGAGCCATGGTTCTGCTCGAGGTTTCTGCCTCTTAAAGGAAGTTTTTCCTTGCCTCTGTCTCCTAGTGCTGCTCTTGGTGGGAACTGTTGGGCTTCTGTAAATAACATCACAGAGTACGGTCTAGACCTGCTCTTTTATGAAAAGCGCTGTGAGATAACTGTTGTTGTGATTTGGCGCTATATAAATAAAATTGAATTGAATTGAATTGAATGTGATGAAGCAGTAGTTTCCTGCAGGTCGTTGTCGGGGAGTTCATGTATTAGACACAGTACATAGAGTACATGTATACAGTATATATAAGAAGCATTGCACAGCTCCTGGAGCATCAGGCTGCTCCAGGAGAATGTGGGTCAGATAAACTCTGTATACTTGGCTTTAAGTCTGAGGTCTGAGTTACTGAACAGGTCCTTGTTCTTCTCGTCCCTCAGATCCGACTACGTGAAGAAAATCTACGAGGCCTCAGAGTAGCTCACCACAGAGCAGGCTGAAGTCTGTTCGGTCGCAGTTGGTATACTCAGTGTCTGAACCGGTTCTAGACCAGCTGCTGGGTCGACTTCTGCACCGGGGCGTAATAAATGAAGGAGAAACGGAGTCAGCCAGAGCTAGAGTTTGGGTTGAAATGGCTCGAACGGTGATTGACTCGCCGTGAAGGAAAGGGCCCAAAGCCAGCTCAGCTCTGATCCAGGACTTCAGGATGTTGGATACATACCTTTCCAAGACTCTGAACCTGAGCTGAGGTAATAATAAAATAATAATAATAATAATAATAATCTTTATTTGTAGAGCACTTTTCAAAAACAAGTTACAAAGTGCTTTAACACGTGTAAAGACAATAATACAAAAACAATACAAGATAAAAACATGAAAACATTGAAAAGACTGAAATACACATTTAAATCAGTAAAATAAAATAAAATAAAAGGGATAAAATAAAGTCAAATAAGATCGGGAAAGGCTCTCCTATAAAAGTATGTTTTAAGAAGGGACCTGATTTCCTCGGGCAGGCTGTTCCAGAGCCTCGGGGCCCTGACAGCAAACGCTCTGTCCCCTTTAGTTTTCAGTCGAGACTCTGGAACAGACAACAGACCTCTGCCCGAGGATCTCAAGGTACGTGCTGGTGCGTATGGGACTAAAAGGTCAGAAATATAACAAGGCGAGAGGCCATGAAGAGCTTTAAAAGTGATCAATAGAATTTTAAAGTCAATTCTAAAACATACTGGGAGCCAGTGTAATGAAGCTAAAATAGGAGTAATGTGGTCATATTTCTTTGTTCTGGTTAAAAGCCTGGAAGTAGATAGTAAGTATGCACAAAGTGGAGAAACTCCATCAGTTAGACATCTGAAGTTCTTAAACACAGACTTTGTGTTTCTGTAGGCTCACTCTCAGTTAAATTCATTTTTATTATTTATTATACAAACCCATGAAGCTGTTTTGCACACTCACTTTCTGTGAACTTGGTTTAGCTAAGGGGAAAAAGTTTCTTCTTCTCAGACCAATCAAAACTGTTGTCACCTAGTGTTGTAGCAGCAATGCAAGATGAATGGCTGTAAAATGAAAACACTTCTTTGGATCATTTTAGCTCCAGTCTGTAGAGGGCATCAGTCAGCTGTCAGCCTCACAGCTCATTAATTACTTTAATAAAAGAAGTTCTTTCTCTACCCGACAAAAGTTTTAGCTTAACTTAGCATCTTTATGTTAGCTTAAAGAAGAACTACTTATTGTGACTCATCAAATCTACGGAAGCCCTAACAGGCCACACATTTTATTTACTCAGTTTTCCCTTGATAACGAGTTGATTTAATTTCTCAATCTCAAATTATTTGTCATTATCTGGAAATAACAAACGTGGGTTTCCTGAGATGACAGGATCATCTCGTTATCACGGTAAAATGTATTTAATAAAATGAATGAATGAAATAGTTTCAGACAGCCTGCAGGTGTTTTGGATGAGAGAATCTGCACTGGAAGTCTCTGAAGGATCTGAAAAAGAGAACAACAAAAACTGCTGAAGCCTTAAAGTCTTTTATTAGGTTATAGTTCAGTTTTCCACAGAGCCTACTGATGGTGACGTGTCCCTGTAGTCTAATGCTGTAATGGAAGGATGCTGAAACCATGCTTATGAAAGTGAGGACAGGTCCTGTTTCCCAGGAGACACTATGAGTCTGATGTGCTTCTCTTCTTCTTCACTGTGTTTTCCATGTAGAGCAGAGAGACGAGCGTCTGACTCCTGAGACTCTTCATGAATACAAACATCTTCATGTAACTTTCTCTGGAGAAGTGACTTCATCTTCATCTGTGGCCGTCTCTTTTCACCCCCGCCAGAATAAAAGGTGTTTTCATCACTTATTGATTCACTTCCTCGTCTGTGGTTTGAGTACAAAGTGAGTTTATTAAATTAAGAACGTGTCCTGCACACCTGATCGCCATCCGACGACACGAGAGCTGCTTCAGGAGTCTGCAGAAGTGCTGGAGACACTTTTATATAAATGTCCTGACGTTTCACAGACTGCAGCGGCAGCACAACGTCAAACACACAAAGTACACAGGAATAATTATAACAAGCTAAGAAACCGTGAACCCTGGTGTGTGGAGGGCAGCAGTGAGGCGTAGATGTGTCTAGTCTGCCAAGTAAAAGAAGAAGACAGATGGAAACGTCATTACAAGATTAAGATTTGAGATGCAGGGTTAAACTCCACGTCAAACAGAAAGTGTCAGAGCTGTAGATGATTATGAATGCAGGAAACATCATTCAGGAACACAGAGACGGGAGTTTAAAATCAATACTGAGCTCAGGACTTCAGGGAAATCACATGAGATCATACAGACCGGCTCAGAAGGTCAAAGCAGTATTATTATTCATATAAATGTTTGTATCACTAGTAGTATTATTTTATTTATTATTATTGTTTGATATAATATTTTATACTTATTATTATTAGTGAGCCGGTAGGAGGCGGTCTGCACCTTTAAACTCGGGGCGAGCCGCCGTTAAACACACAGCAGAAGAAGAAGAAGAAGCAGAAGCAGCAGAAGAAGAAGTAGTTCCGGTGGCTAACATGCTAACTGGGTAAAGAGAAGCAGCAGGAACCCGCCGCAGAGGAACCCGCTGCAGAGGAACCCGCTGCAGAGGAAAAACTGTCGGGAGGTTTCAGACTCAGCTGCTCTTGGCTAACGATGCTAACGGAGGCTAGCGCTGCTCGCTAACAGGAAGTAGCCGGAGAGTCCAGTTTATCAGAGAGCTGCTGGAGCCTGAAGTCCGGGACCGGGAGGAGCTGCTGGAGGTTTTTACACTTTACTGCTTATTCTCACTGTAAACTGCCTTTACTGCAGTAAAAGTACCACTGTGTGAAAATACTCCACTGCGAGTAAAAGTCCTGCATTCAAACCTTCCTTCAGTAAAAGTATGTGAGTATTATCAGCAACATGTACTTATTTTGTACTCCGTTATTTTCTGAAGGAATAAAACCAGAAGTCTCAGTTTTACGGAGTTCATGTGAACTCAACATAAATATTTGCAAAGAACAAATTAAGTCACTGCACGACCCTAACCGGCTGGTAGGCCCTTAAACCCTAACCGGCTGGTAGGCCCTTAAACCCTAACCGTAGGGTTAGGGTTTAAGGGCCTACCAGCCGTACGTAGGGTTATAGTAGTCCCAGGAGCACCTACTAGGTTTGGGATTAATCTTTTCACATTTTACAAGTTCTCCATAGAAAGAATTGTCTTTACTTTTTGTGTACAGAGACAGATTTAACCAACAGTCTCAACGTTCCTTCTACAGTGAGGAACAGACTGGATGTAAGTCCTCAATAACAAATGTCTAGAAAAATGGGCACACTCTACCGGGAAGATGATTTCATCCCCGATGCTTCATATAAACTATTCCTTTTCCCGCCATTTCTTAAATCCCTTGTCCAGGCACGAGGGAGGAAAGTGAGTGTTGTTCACTACAGGTGCTACATGGGATTGAGATCCTGTCATCCCATAATATTTACGTTTTGTACACATGCCTACAATGTTTTTAACCTGAACATTGTCTTGTATTGCAAGGTGGTTCTCGCTATAAGTCAGATTGTAGTATTGATCATCTCTAAATCTTTGAACACATTTCCGGAATCCTTTTTGATCCAGTATAGCAAATGTCTTAAGTCGGTGTGAATGAGATTGTGAAGGGCTGTTTAAAGTGTAAATTTTGTTGAGTGCTTTAACCTAATTCCCATAGCTCTTGGACCAAAGAAAAGGGTAGCCCATCAAAACCACAAACTGTGTGTTAGCTGGACATATTCACCCTCGGCGATACACTGACACCGGGAGCAGAGGAAAGAAGAATTTTTAGAAATTGCAACCATATTTTGGGTTTCGTAGCCAATGTTTGTAGTAAGACCTGCAGTATGTCTGGCACAAGTCGAAACAGTAACCAGACTCCGCAGAAGAGTTACTGGAGCCAGCTTGATCCTACACCTTAAAGAGGTGGTTTCTGCTTTTTCCCTCTCCATTATTGTCAATGTTCCGTATTTGTATAGCGCCTCTCAGGCTCTACCTCCTGAGCCACAGCCGTATTGAATTATATACCTTTTTTGTGCATGTAACAAGTTTGCAAAGTAAAAAAGTCCAAAGTCCAGCCCAAAGTGAGTTCCCATCTCCCACAGAAAACTCTGCTCTGAACTGAAAACAGCTCGTTTGGAGTCCAGCCGCTTCCCTTTCATCCCTGTGACGTCACAGACGCCAAGCGGCTACTCCGACACGCCCTCAGAAACAGCGAGCTGCAGCACACAGCTCTCCTCTCCCTTCCAAACACTAGCTACCCTCCAGGCAGTCAGTGGACAGAAAGTTGTTCCTGTGATGTAGAGACAGAGCTCAGTTAAAACTTTATGGATACAGATTAATAACTCACCGCTCTGAAACTCTCGCTCCAGTCAGCTGAACGAAGCTGGGTTTACCGGCTTCTCACTGATCCGCCCTCCTCTGCTTCTGATTGGCCTGTAGTCCTTAACTAGGAACTGCTCATGTGCAACTCCCAACAAGTTTATTTGTATAGCACAATTTAACAACAAGGTAATTCAAAGTGCTTTACATAAAACATAAAAGCAACAGGGAAATATAAAAAAACTTTAAAAGCAACATAAAATATAATAAAAGTTAGTGTTACAATCAGGGTTAAGAGTTAAATGGATAAAAGCAATGATAAAAAGATAAAAACAAAGAAAAAGAACAGGACAGTAAATGTTACAGTGCAGTGTAAGTTATCAATAAAAAGAAAAATCTTAAATATTTAATCAAAAGCAATGGTAAAAAGAAAAGTCTTCAGTCTTAATTTAGAAGAACTGACTGTTTCAGACCTGCAGTTATCTGGGAGTTTGTTCCAGATATACGGAGCATAATAACTGAACGCTGCTTCTCCTTGTTTAGTTTTGACTCTGGGGACAGAAAGCAGACCTGATCCCAGACGACCTGAGAGGTCTGGATGGTTCATAATGAAGCAGAAGATCAGAAATGTAATTTGGCCCTAAACCATTTAGTGCTTTATAAACTAACAGCAGGATTTTGAAATCAATTCTTTGACATACAGGAAGCCAATGTAAAGACCTCAGAACTGGAGTGATGTGATCCACCTTTTTGGTCTTAGTGAGGACTCGAGCAGCAGCGTTCTGAATCAGCTGCAGCTGTCTGATGGATTTCTTAGGGAGCCTGTAAGGACGCTGTTACAGTAGTCAAGTCGACTGAAGATAAATGCATGGATATGTTTTTCCAGGTCCTGCTGAGACATAAGTTCTTTAATCCTTGATATATTCTTCAGCTGATAGTAGGCTGACTTTGTAATTGTCCTAATGTGGCTCCTCAAATTCAGGTCTGAGTCCATGACTACACCAAGATTTCTGGCTTGATATGTGGTTCTTAACATTACTGAATGAAGTCGAGCACTTACTTTCAGTCGTTCCTCCCTGGCTCCAAAAACAATTAATTCTGGCACATCCAATCGTTGACCTGCTCAATACAGTTACTCAGCGCCTGTATGGGATCATAGTCCCCTGGTGAAATGGTTATGTAAATCTGTGTGTCATCTGCATAATTATGGTAACATATTTTGTTGTTTTTCATAATCTGAGCCAGTGGAAGCATGTAAATGTTAAACAAAAGAGGTCCCAGAATGGAGCCTTGGGGAACTCCACAGCTCAGATGTGTGATTACCTATAGACACAAAGTAGTCCCTGTCCTTTAAGTAGGATTCAAACCAGTTTAGTACTGTGCCAGAAAGTCCAACCCAGTTTTCAAGTCTGTCTAGTAATATGTTGTGGTCGACCGTGTCGAATGTAGTACTGAGATCCAATAATACTAAGACTGAAATTCTGCGACTGTCAGTGTTTAAATGGATGTCATTGAAGACCTTAACAAGAGCCGTCTCATTGGTGTGGTGTGGTCGAAAACCTGACTGGAAGACCTCAAAACAGTTATTTAGTGCCAAGAAAGCACTAAGCTGTTGAAAAACAGCCTTTTCAATGATTTTACTTAAAAATGGGAGATTTGATATGGGCCTATAATTGCTCATTAGTGAATTGTCTAGATTGCTCTTTTTTAAGAGTGGCTTAATGACTGCAGTTTTCAGGGCCTGTGTGACAATTTGTAGGAAATCTGAGGCCATGCATTTAGAAACATATTTGAAAAAACCTGTTAGCAGAATATCAAGGCAGCATGAGGAGGATTTCAGATGTTGTATTATGTCCTCCAGGTTTTTATGGTTAATAGATTCAAATTGTCTCATGCTATATGAATTGTTTTTAAGTGGACACAGGGACAAGACATATCCTGTTACTGGCATGGAGGCACTGATTGCTTGTCTAATTGTTAGAATTTTGTCTGAAGAAGGAAGCAAATTCACTGCAGGCCCTGGTGGATAGAAGTTCAGAGGCTACAGACACAGGAGGGTTGGTTAGCCTGTCGACAGTAGCAAACAGGGCACGTGCATTATTAGTGTTTTTGGTGATGATGTCAGAGAAGAAGGACCGCCTTGTATTTCTCAGTTCTAAATTATAAATGCGAAATTCAGTTTTATTTATATAGCGCCAAATCACAACAACAGTTATCTCACAGTGCTTTTCATAAAAGAGCAGGTCTAGACCGTACTCTATGAGGAAAAACTTCCTTTTAAGAGGCAGAAACCTCGAGCAGAACCATGGCTCAAAAGAAGCAAAATTCCCATAAGACTTCTTTTTGCATTGGAGGGAGTCATTAAACAAAATGGCAGCTCCACCTCCTCTCTTATGCACTCTAGCTTCACTCATGAAACTGAAGTTGGGAGGGGTAGACTCGATAAGGACAGCTGCACTGTTATCTTGGTCCAACCAAGTTTCAGTTAAAAACATGAAATTAAGATTGAGTTATTATAAAATCATTGATTAAAAATGTTTTTCCTGCCAAAGACCTAACGTTTAACAAAGCTAATTTTAGTGTGTTAAAAACATTATCTGGCCCACTTTTTTTGACAGGCTGCGGCTGACAAGGAATTAATACTAAACTTGCAGGATAAGTTGAGTGCTTCCTGTTGCTTCACATTCATCGTGCTTTTTCTGTTACCTATCAAGACAGGGATGGAGAAGACTACCAGCACACTGGGCCCCGGCTTGTCCTGGGAAGAGTCATGAGTGCTGTTTTCCTTGTAGCCTGGACCCAGCACATATCAGACAGAGCTTTCTGGGCTTCTTCGCCATTGCGAAGCGGGAAGGCGGGTTGGGCGCTTTATTTGTGACAGATGTATCAAACCTGGAGGACGTAGAACCAGTGGTGGAGGTGGACGGTGAGGGGGGTTTAGGGTGGAGAAAATGGGAGTGGAGCAAGGGAAGGTGCGGGGAGTAAATTTGGTCCCAGCTCTAACCAGGTCTTCCATTAGATTAGTGAAGTCCAACAGGGGGGAGAGGGGAGAAAGGGTGTCTGGAGAAAGGGTGACCTGGATGAGGATTGGGGGGGTAGAGATGGTGAATCCTCACTGTTGGTTTTCAGTGAGGGAGGTGGAGGCTCTTCCTCTTTGCTCAGTTGTCTCCCGTGATCAGAGCTCTCTTCCGGCGGGGGCTGAGGTGGCTCTCCTTCAAGGTTTCTGGTGTGTTGTGTTATGTCTTCCTCTTGTTTAGATTCCTCTTGTCCTTGGCAGAGGGAACAGATGAGTGACGCAGAAAGTAAAACCGGTTGGAGCTGAACAATTTTTACAAAAGTTTTCGATGAAATGCACTGAATGCCATCAGACTGCTGAATCTCCCAGCTTCCTCTTCGGATTGGTGGTATAGGGCCACTGATAAACACCTCAACATTCAAAGAGCTGACTGTGTTCAACAGATTATTAAAGTCCTCTTTCAACACTTCAAACTGTTGCTTCACAACATCATTGGTCCCGATGTGCAGTATGATGTTTTTCACAGTAGGATGTTCAGCCACGATATGCAGGATTCTTGCTGCGAAGTCAGACACCGTATCATATTCGAAAAGTATTTTGGTGTTACTGTCTTACTGCACATGCTTCTTACATCGTTTACAGCAGAGTCACCCACAGTCAGAGTTTGAGGCCCAGTCGTTAGCTTTCCCTGCAGCCTTTTACTTTCTGATTTACTCTCAGTCCTTACCCTTCTGTGTGAGGATGGGATGTTATCCAGGTCATCAGACGGAGATCCAGGGTCCTGCAATAGTGGTGAAAATGTGTTCTGCTGTTGCACACTCGGTTGTTGGGGAGTGTATTGCTAACTCTCCCTTTCGCAGCTGTCCATGGCTGTGTCCTACAAAGAACAAGGGGTTGAAGAGGCGCTCTGCCTGGATGATAATGCAGGCCCGCCAGTCGCATCACAAATCTCAGGGCGCTGGGTTCTGTCTGTTACTTATCCTCCTATTTCCCCAGGAAATGATTTACTCTTAGGCTTTGCACCAAGAGCGTTCCCACTTTTATATTTATTACCCAGTGCACAGGCCTCCTGCTTCTCGGTAGTCTTGTGGGTGCTAATTAGCCGTGTGTTAGCATGCTCTTGTCCACTGTTTTGGGTCCACGGTAAAGTGGTGTCATTCCCACATAATCCATTCACTTCCACATTCACTTCTAACCTGTGGATCTTGGTTTCCAGCACAGTAATTTTCTGTACTAGTTTGTAGAAGTCGTCCGTGGAGAGTGGAGCATCTTGTTGATAATTAGCATTAGCTATAGCTCCAGTCACTGCAGTACAGGCTAGTGCTATTGATAGGCCGCACTCGCGTAGCACTAAGATCATAAAAGGTTTTAAAGTATGGCAAGAGCCAACTTTATCTGACAGTCCCAGTGATTTAAAAGTATCCAAGAGCTGCTGATTTCTAGCAGGGGGAAAAAAAAGAGTTTAAGCAAAAGAATGCAAGGAGAGGCAAGAGCAAGCAGCAAAGCGTCTGCACTGTAAGAAAGCAGGAAGCAGCAGCTGTAGAGGTGTGATACATCACTCCATAGCTAAAACCAAGCATTTAACACACAGGGTGAAAATAGGAGCTGCAGCAATGTGCAGTATGACAAAAAGTTTGTATTTTTTGAAAATGAAACCATGTAAACCTCTTCTGGTACAAACCCTAAATAAGATTTTGAATCTGAAATGAGCAGAATATGACATATTTATGATATAAATAAATGGGAGACGTGCAAAGTACAGTGTTGCCACCACTGCATGTATCAGATGTGCCCCAGGTGTTGTACTAAATGTGCATAATTTCTCACTCATGTAAGAAAGTAGTGTTTAAATGTTAACAGGAAGTTAGTTTTCTAAAATGTGTATGTTTTTTACTAATCTCCACAGACGAGCCCCAGTCTGGACCAGGAGGACCTAATGGAGCCCCCACACATTAAAGAGGAGTGTAGCCCCAGCCTGGACCATGAGGACCCACCAGAGCTCCCGCACATTAAAGAGGAGTGTAGCCCCAGTCTGGACCATGAGGACCCACCAGAGCTCCCACACATTAAAGTGGAGTGGAGCCCCAGTCTGGACCATGAGGACCCACCAGAGCTACCACACATTAAAGTGGAGTGGAGCCCCAGTCTGGACCATGAGGACCCACCAGAGCTCCCACACATTAAAGTGGAGTGGAGCCCCAGTCTGGACCTGGAGGACCCACTAGTGCCCCCACACATTAAAGAGGAGTGGAGCCCCAGTCTGGACCATGAGGACCCTCCAGAGCCCCCACACATTAAAGAGGAACAGGAGGAACTCTGGACCAGTCAGGAGGGAGAGCAGCTTCGAGGGCTGGGGGAGGCTGATACCACCAAGTTCACATTCACTCATGTCCCTGTGAAGAGTGAAGAAGAAGAGAAACCTCAGTCCTCACAGCTTTATCAGAGACTAAATGAACAGATGGAAACAGAATCTGATGGAGAGGACTGTGGAGGACCAGAACCAGCCACAAACACAGATCCAGATAAACATTTACAATCAGCTGCTGGGGACAAGACGTCAGACTCTGAGTCTGAGACTGATGACAGTTGTGATTGGGAGGAGACCAGGGAACCTCAGTCAGGTTCAAACCTTCTGCAAAAAAATGAAGTACCTGTTAGTGATCAGGAATATAGTACTGGAAAAACATCAAGAAGCTCCTCTGAATGCTCTACAAGCTTTGGCCACAAGGGACTCCAAACAGGAGAGAAACAATTTAGATGTTTAGTTTGTGGTAAAGGATTTGCTCAAACGTCACTCCTGAGACAACACATGACAGTCCACACAGAGCAGAACCTTTTCAGCTGCCCAGTTTGTAAAATAAGTTACAGGAGCAAATGTTCTTTGTCCACACACATGAGAGTCCACAGAGGGGAGAAACCTTTCAGCTGCTCAGTTTGTAAAATAAGTTACAGGAGCAAATGCTCTCTGTCCACACACATGAGAGTCCACAGAGGGGAGAAACCTTTCAGCTGCTCAGTTTGTAAAAAGATTTTGGGGAGCAGATGTGCTTTGTCCATACACACCAGAATCCACACAGGAGAAAAACCCTTCAGTTGTTCTGTCTGTGGAAGAAGATTCAAGCACAGCTCACATTTGTCCTCACACACAAGAGTTCATACAGGGGAGAAACCTTTCAGTTGTTCCGTCTGTGGTAAACAAGTTGCACGGAAGGAACATCTGACGCTGCACATGAGAGTCCACACAGGAGAGAAACCCTTCAGCTGTTCTGTCTGTGGTAAAGGATTCGCTCAAAGCTCAAATGTGATCTCACATATGAGAATCCACACGGGAGAGAAACCATTTAGTTGTTCAGTGTGTGGTAAAACATTCACTCAGCTTCGTGCTGTAAAACAGCACAAGTGTGTCGGTGCGAGCAGCGGAAGTAAATGAAGCTGCAGAGAAGCTTGTTGAGCCGATTCCTTCCAGCAGGTTTAAAGTTCTGAGGACAAGACTTGGCTCAACACTGATGTTGCCTTTAAAGCGGAGCTTCAGGTTTTTCCAGCCTGTCAGAACAGTACAAAGATGCCATACGTGCTGAAATCATTATTCAACTGGGTATCTTCGTCCCGGGACTCGTGTGAATGTTTGTTTTGTTGCGGCAGTTACTAAGGGACTCCCTGTGCCTCCGCTCAGCGAGTAAACCCAGTCTGTGCAGTCCTAAAGAGGGGGTTTTGTAGAAAAGTAGGAAGATCCCCACTTGATCTTTCCAACTCAGACCTGAACTTAACAATGCATTTTATGATCCCTTACCCAAGGTCTTTTTTAGACTGGGTCTGAACTTTTAGACCTCTTCAGACTCTCTCCAACCAGCAGCAGCAGCTTCTACATGTGGTTTTCTTTAAAATCTCACTGAGATCAGTGTAAAATGACGTGTTGCTCTCCACGAACACATCACTGATTCTGACTCCAGGCTTCAGCTTTATTCATGGTTCATGTGTCTTTATTTCCTTCCTGATCCAGCCAGGAGGGTTTCAAGTCCATCACACTCCATGTCTTCTTGCCTCTTTATTTTTCTAATTAGTTAATACTTTAATCACGATGGTTTCCTATGAGGCTGCCAAACCACGACTAGATCTAAATTGGAAGAGATTGAACCAACAAAAAATGTACTGCGATACTTTTATTCTGGTAGTGTTGGTTCTGTTGTCTGTTACACCTTCTTGTAAGCATGAAAACGTGGACTAGTGTTGCACGGTACACCGATACTTGAAAGGTATCGCAATACCCTGACGTTAAAAACAATACAATACTGACTAGGGTTGAAACGATTTATCGATAAAATCGATTCATAAAATTCTTCGACACAAATTCTTTGCATCGATGCTTCGTTGAATCCATATAACTATACAGCACGGTGTTTCGCAGGGACATCTATTACTGTCGCACATCGCGTTTACGCTGTGAACCCAACGTCATTATGTTGGAGCTGTTTGCAAAGTGGGGAAGAGAGAGAAAACAGCGAGGGACAAAAAAGAAAGTGTCCAAAGTCTGGGATTATTTCAAGCTAAAGAAAACAACATCTCTGTAATGTTACCGTCCGTCCACCTTAAAACTTATGTTGCCTCGGCAACAGTATGACGGCGCCTTATCAGAAGGCGGCCGGTGCTCTGTCAGCGGACCACAGACAAGGTAACAGTAACAGCAACTTTAGCATTGAACTGAAATCATGACTGACTGTTGAGTTGAAGCCAAAGTAAGCTGCAGTCCTCAGCTGAAAATGTGACCACGTGCGTTTGTTGTTCTCCTTTTTGGGCCGTGAGTTGTTACCTCACAGTCAGGAGTTAACTGGGTGTCGGGAGCTTCACCTTTTAACTCCCCTGCAGCTCTGTCTGTAGCTCAGACAATCCCTGCTACCTGCGTGTGCTAATCCATCCTTTCACCCAGATTCTTTGTCTTTATTATCACCATCTTTATAATAACAAACAGCTGTTTCCTGTGCAGGATCGCTCATTTCCCGTTTCACATTTCACGTGTGTTTTCTTGATAAAAGTGGTTTGGAAACCTGCGTCGGGTGCCGTAGCTGCTGTCCTGTAGTGTGTGTGACCCCGTCACCGATCAGTTACGTAGCGTGAACGCCACAACAACTTCAAGACTGCGTCATGTTACGGCAAGGTGTGTGAACGGCACGGCCGTCGACCGACGTTGAAAGTCGTGTAGTCTGAACGAGTCTGTAGTATAACTTGTAGAGCACTCGGTTGATGTTTCTGTTTGTAAAGCAGCTGTCTGGTTGTTGGTCTGATATTTGCTGTATGACACACTATGAATTTCCAAAATGGCTAATGAATATCTATCACCTATAAACATGCACAGCTGATCCCGTTATCGGGGGGCGCCGCCGCCAAGCAAAAGTACTTCTTAAACAACGTCTGAGTCATTGAAATAATCTATCGAAGCTTCGAATACTAAAATCATCGTTAGCTGCAGCCCTAATACTGACAATACTGCCTGTTTATGGTATTAATACTTTAAGCTCCCCCTCCCTGCAGGCAAAGTGGGCGTGGCTTACGCTGCAGCTCCTGGAGAGACATGGCTACAAGCACAAGTGCTCTTCCACGGCTTGTCAACAAAGCAGACGCACAGAGAAAATGATGGGATTATTTTGCTTGCACAGCGACAGTGAAAGCGAGCCTGTAGACACCACAAAGCCCATCTGTAAAAGAAGCTTCAGACTCACGCAGACTGAGAGGCAACACGTCCATCCCACCGACAGACATGCAGACTTCAGGCCTGCAGGTCCAAGAATTCAAAGAGCGGCTGGTTAGCTAATGTGATAACAGTTACATACCTTCAGTAAGTCCAACAGGTGTGATTTAAAGTGTGTTCGCAAACGTTTTTAGCAATGAAGGTGTTTGACGAGGGAAGTAAGAACGCTGTTAGCGGTTTAATTTGTTTTTAGCCTTTTAGCTAACTTACCAATGTGGCAAACATCATGCCGGCCGCACAGCATGCAGGCAAAAGTGACCGGTGACGTATGGAAAAGTGAATGGCATTGTGTAACAGCCCCCCCCCTCCCCGGCATCGCCGCCTCACAAACGCACGCATGATTCTACGATCAGTCGACTGTAGGCAAGACACAATTGTGATTCGACTATGTAAATCCTTAGTGACAGTCGTAAGTGAAACATTTATACTCATCAGTCCCGGTAATGGTGATCATGGCATTTACAGTTGTGTCAACTTTGTCTATTAATAGATGCGCTCAGTAGATCGCAGACCGCCGCCGAGTAGGCATACTGAGTCATGAGGCTGTTTCATAAGTTGGTTGCAAATGTAAAGGTAAGTATCAAATCTATAAATCAAGAATAGGGGACATCAGATTGGACTGAACACACGACTCAGTACACCTCGTCTGAGAGCGTTTTCTATTTAAATTCCATCTAACAATCTACAGCAGATAGGATTTAGTATTTTATTTAATAAAAACAGAATTTTAAGTTCTGTCATTTATCATTCCATTACTTTTCCTGATGATTTAGATTTTTGTCGTATCGTTTTAGTATCGAGAAATTTATGCAGGTATCGTATCAAAGTTGTCATTTGGTATCGTGACAGGTCAAAATTTCCTCTCTGAAACCTTTAAAAAGGAACTGAAAGTCTTCAGCTGTAGTGGATGTTTGTGAAAGTTCACTTCTTAAAATCCCCTTAAAAACCTTTTTACTAATTGGGATTTGTTCCAGTGTTGGACTTCAGACACATTGTCCCTGTAAAACAGGGTAGAGCTGGAGGACCTGAGACCCGAGGCTGGATTCTGTCACCACGTGATCCTGAAAAACTGGTGAGAATCTGGAAAAGAGTAAATCATCATTTGGTTGATCAGAAGTACGGGTTAAAGTGTTGTTCAGTATACGGAGTTGTTTTTAACCAAGGTTTAACTGGAAAATAATAAAATCCCTGAGGTTTTGGGAAAGTCATGGAAATGAGTTTCAGTGCTGCTGTGTCCGTTGTGATAACCGGTTAATTGTTACGAACAAGCTAAAACAAAAACTGTATGTATTTATTTTTATATAGTGCCAATTCATAACTGAAGTCTCATTGCACTTTTCATATAGCGCAGGTCTAAACACAGGGCTCTACAGAGGGACCATTTCACTACCTTTCACTCAGCTGTGTATTTATTGTAAATGTTTTAATAAAAAGATCAAGTGAAAAACTGTCAGCAGCAGCATCGTGTTTCTCCTTTGCATGACTGATGAGAGCCAATCAAACGTAGCAAAAGGTCCCAAAACGCAGTAGTGTGGATGGGGCCTAATACCATAGAAAGAATTCTCTGTTTTCATGTTTTTAGTGAACTCACCGTGGAAACTGACCCTCCTTTGACAGTCAAGGGATTAACGGGGAGCTGCAGCCTCAAGAGTTCGTCTCACACTTTCTGACTCACCTAACTCACAATGAAAATGAGCATTCAACCACCAAAGACTGAACAAAGGTGAAACTACCTGAGGACAAGCAGAGATCCACCATCCAAGCCATCAACACGTGAGAACACCGCTACACAGCCTCAGACGTACACAGCAGAGTAGAATAATAAAGCATCAGAGTTGACCTCGGGAACGGGACGGAGGGAAACAATAATGATACAGTATATTACAGCCGTATGTGTTGGTGATAACTTACAGGGCCAGGACCTCTGAACACACACCCTTATTAAATATTATTATTATGACCTTTATTCAAACAGGGACGCTCTGATGACAGAACATATAAAACAATGAAAGCACACGACAGTTAACGAGTTCTAACACGAATCAACACACAGCATTTATTCTGCAGAACAGAGTTTGTAGCCGTGCGGTGGTACGTCTGACTGGAGCAGCCTTATTTCAGCTGAAATAAAACAGATGAAGGATGAGATCATGTGTAGGTTTATATATAATATGTATAAATAGAAGATTAGTGAATAAAGTGCGTGAGGAGCAGGAGGATCAGGAGCAATGCAGGCCTGATTCATTCCACGTCTCTTCTAACTGAGAGAAAACAAAGTGTTTAGAGAGGTTCTCTCTAATCTGATGAGGCCTGCAGAGACAGTATCATCATCGTCAGCAGCATTATTGGTAGAATCTTTTAGTCCCAGAGTCATTCGAAGTGCGATGTCCATTTTCCTGACAGTAGGCGTGGCCTGAATGTGACAGACAGCTCTGCTCATTTACCCGTCATCGTTGTGGAAACATGGACCCTCAGATTCATGAGAAGATTTCTCAAAAGGTCGAAGTCATTAGGCTTCAGCAGTTCAGCTGAGTTGCTTTGATGTCCGTAACATTAATAGAACAAGGGGGAACCGGAATCTAAGGAGAACCTAGCAAGTAAAGTTGAGTGGATCTGCATACTTTCTTACCAGCTGCAAGTTCTGGAAGCAAAGACAAACTATATTTAGTCAGGTCAGTGAAGGACTTTGGGGTTTGTTATCCTGCTTAGACATATCAATGATATACTGTGTGATCTATACCTGAACCTGCGACGTGTCACTGACGTATAATGTGTCTTCCAGGAGGGACCGCTCGAGGACGTCCACTCTACAGTGGTTGGTGGTGTAGAGGAAGCCTCTCAGGCCACCAGCAGCTCACAGAAACTAAAGTTTGCTCTGCATGTAGACGAGCGGGTAAGAATGTTATTATTACCTGTGTGATTTTATTCCTGCTACTGCAGAGCTGTGTATGTCCACCGCCACGTTGTCCTGAACAGACGCTGTACGACTCTGGACTAAACGAAGTGTTCAATGCCTTCAGTGTTGAGGTGAGATTTGTGACTGCCCTCAGGTACAGGTCAGCGTAAGGTCACCATTTGCATTAATAAATGGACCTGAGAGGCCCCACTAGTGTTTAATGGGGGCCACTGCAGTTTTACACAATGCAGCATCACTGAAACATTTTTCAACACATGCATCTATAAACATGATCTGAACAAGAGGAGTCAGTGTGTGTGTGATAAGGAGGGGTATGATGAGTGTGATTTTATAAGGTGGCCCCTGAGAAGCAGGGCCTCAGACTTGCATCAAAGCTCTGCTCTGTGAAATCCAAAGACACATGATGACGTCACACACCGAGCTAAAGACCCGTGAACTTTAAGTGATGAACGTCTTCAGGTCTTTTATTATGAGTGAAAATGTTGAGACTTTAATACCACACTGTTACACGGACACGCACACTTCCTTCATACCATGGTTAACTTCTCATCTTTTTTTAGGTAACTGGAACGGACCTCATCGGGAAAATGGCAACAACCAGCAGCAGTTCTGTAGACTTTCAGATTTAGATTTTCACTGAGATCCAAAATGCTTTTTAATGAGTACCATGTTTTAACGTTTAAACAGGGACCTCTGTAGCCTCAATAAGGCCACATCTGTTTATAGATATTATTTAGATAAGGACTGAGTAACCACACAGATGAATTTAGATGATTTGTGTGTTATTCGTCCTCATGAAAAGAATAGTCAAATGAAAGTATTTGAAAATAGTACAGAAAGTTATGAAATGTTTGAAGATTATAAAAATCTATATATCGTAGAGGACGTTTGTGTAGAGAGGACATGATGTCTCCAGACGGACATGTAGCGGTCTTCCATATGGACTACAATCAGACAGTACGGTCTTTGCTTGGAAAGGATTAATAAATCCACATTACCGCTGGTTCCAGAGTACAGTTACTGTGGTTAGTGTTAACTTTCCTTTTGAGTGCTAATGAATGGGTCTAAACATGCTTATATAATCCAAGTCTGCTTAGATTCATTGCCTGTCAGATTAGGGCCACTGTGGTGGATCATATCATCAGTCCTGGCCTGACGACGAGGGAGGCTGGGCAGAGAGTTAAGCCCAACCTGATGACATTCAGACAGGAGAACAGATACGTCTTCAGTTTTGTACACTAGACTGTTGATCATTGTGCATCAACAAGTCGAGCGATGGTCGTCTACATTGTCATCATTTAAAGTGTTATTTTATAGTGTAAAGTTAGGATCACAGTGTTCAGACTCTATAGCTCTGAGAGTGTGAGGTCCTCTCTGTGTCTGACTGCCAGTAACAGTAACACGTGTGTGAGCAGAATCAGACAGCAAGGCATCATCAAAAACACCAGCAAAGTTACAATGTAGAAGCAGAATCAGTGAACGTTGTGTTACAAAACATACATCAATACAGTAAGAATGTCCTGTCTAAAGCACACAGCACAGGAGACACCAGCTTCTTCCACAAAGTCAGGTTATGGTTAAAATGGCGTGATCAACATGCCCCGGACACAGAGAGGGGGGGCAGTGCAGACAAGAAACAGACATCAGTCATCAGCGATTATCCTTTATCAGTATTAATCATTTTTATTATCTTTAGTCAGAATCAATAAGTAATCATTCTTAGTTCATCATTTTATTATCATTTATTAGCATTATTAATCTTAATAATTTTCTTTTTTCTTTTCACCTAGATGTGTCTTATTTCTACTTAGAAGTGCTGTGCTGTAGTCATGAATGCAGTAACAAAGTTAAGATCCTTGAGTGGGAGGAATGACTGCAGGAAGTGGCTGCAGATGTTTCGCCTTGTCCAACTGTCTGTACTTGGCTTACTACCCCACCAGAGCACTGCGCTCCCAGAATGCAGGGTTACTTGTGGTTCCTAGAGTCTCCAAAAGTAGACTAGGAGCCAGAGCGTTCAGCTATCAAGCTCCTCTCCTGTGGAACCAGGTTCCAGTTTGGGTTCAGGAGGCAGACACCATCTCCACATTTAAGAGTAGGCTTAAGACTTTCCTCTTTGATAAAGCTTATAGTTAGGGCTGGCTCAGGTGAGTCCTGAACCATCCCTTAGTTATGCTGCTATAGGCCTAGACTGCCGGGGGATTTCCCATGATGCACTGAGCTCCTCTCTCCTCTACTTTCTCTCCCTCTGTATGCAACCTCATCCCATTATTGCATGTTACTAACACAACTTCTCCCCTTTCTGATAGTCTTGTGCTTTCTCGTCTCTCTCCTCTCTCCTCCTATCACTTCCTGCAGGTTTTCTGGCTCTGGAGCTGTGGAGTCTGGATCTGTGGTTGCGGGTCACCTGCTGCCCCCGTGTTCCTGCTCGACACCCTCTGCTGCAACGACTATTGTTACTAGTCCTATTGTTATTATTGTTATTATAATCATTAACATTACGACTGTTACCATTAACACTACTATAAATATCTGTACCATTTTTCATTTAGTCTAGTTTGTGTAGGCTCTCTCTCTCTCTCTCTCTCTCTCTCTCTCTCTCTCTCTCTCTCTCTCTCTCTCTCTCTCTCGTCGTGTCTCTCTCTCTCCCTCTCTTTCTCTCTCTCTCTCCCCTCTCTCTCTCTCTCTCTCTCTCTCTCTCTCGTCGTGTCTCTCTCTCTCTCTCTCTCGTCGTGTCTCTCTCTCCCTCTCTCTCTCGTGTCTCTCTCTCCCTCTCTCTCGTCGTGTCTCTCTCTCTTTCTCTCTCTCTCTCTCTCGTCGTGTCTCTCTCGTCGTCTCTCTCTCTCTCGTCGTGTCTCTCTCTCTCTCTCTCTCTCTCTCTCGGCCGCCCACCCTGAGTCATGGTTCTGCTCGAGGTTTCTGCCTCTTAAAGGAAGTTTTTCCTTGCCTCTGTCGCCTAGTGCTGCTCTTGGTGGGAACTGTTGGGCTTCTGTAAATAACATCACAGAGTTCGGTCTAGACCTGCTCTTTTATGAAAAGCGCTGTGAGATAACTGTTGTTGTGATTTGGCGCTATATAAATAAAATTGAAAATTGAAACTGTCATCTACTAGATTATGACCATAGGAGAGGCTGCAGGGGTTCAACATCTGCTGTGACAGTGCATGCTTCGTTCTGCTGTTATCTACTGTTGTGACTACATGGTGAACTGCTGATGTGTTAATCTGCTAATATTAAGACTAGATGCTTAATAATTACTGATCAACTTCCAACCTCTGATGCTGAGAGCCTGTGTGAACTTTGAGTGAATTTTCTGAAGGAATTCTTGCTTAACGTTTTCACGACGGATAGTCGATGAGCATTTTCACGACAGACAGATGAGAAGCAGAAAGCAGCCAGCATAACATCAAGAATGCTGTAAGAAACCAAGAATAAATGGAAAATGCTACTTTACTTATGTTATTCTTATATTAACTGTTTAAAAAATACGATTTTGTGTGATTTTAAGCATGCGTAACCTTTAAAAAACACGGTGAGACTGAAGTTGAAATGTAAATGATGAACTTCTTATCCAGTAGTATAAAGATGCAGAAAGTCAACAATGCAGTAATAACTGACAGCTGAGGAACAGAAGAAAAGAAGTTCATCATGAGGAGAGGAGGGCAAACCAGCGCAGAAGAGACCACAGGATGGACTTCATCCTCCGACCTGCTGGGATGTTGGACGGGTTTATCTGTCCTGTTTTGGAATAAACTCTTTAGCACCGACTCTTGACCGTCTCCAGAGGAGTTTTTGACTATAATAGAAAGCTAATGGAGTAATTTTTTACAAAGTTTATTAAGCTGGTGAAGGTGGGGACCAGACTTAACTGGCCCAGCCTGGTCGTACCTCTGACCCAACAGTCCCTGGGCATCTCTGGGGCAATATCACTTTGTGTGCCCCTGTTAGTCTGCAGGAAGTTGTCCATCGTGATGCCACCCTAGGGCCCTAAAATACTGCGAACATAAGAACTTCTGTGGAAGCCCTAAATAATGCAGCTCAACAGACCAGAGCAGACCATCTTTGTTGTCATCTGGGTTAGTTAGTTTTCACTGTGCTGCTCTGCTCAGGGACTGGTTCACCAAACCCCAATAATTTCACAGCTATGTACCTGCCGCCTTACTCCCCATTTCTCTTTTCAGCTCAACGTTTGACAGTAATTAACCACCAGCCTAATGCCTCTTCTGCAAGCAATGGAGGGGGCATGCGGAGATCGTTAGGTGGGGTCAATCCTCAGTTGGATATGACACAGAAGACTTGATCCATAAAACTATCCACCCCATCCCTTACACAACTATTTGTGTTGACCAGTACACTATCATTTTACTGTGTCGTTTTATAGCTGTGAGTTGACAGAAACATGTTGTATTGATTACTGTACTGCAATTCTACTTTTTCTACCAAAAAAATCGTGTTTTGTCACTGCTTCTGAATGAATGAAGCAGAAGCAGGCTACAAGTTGGTATGGCTGCTGGCTATGATCTGGCCTCTGCTGAGCTTGATCTGGTCCTGGATCTGGTGAGCAGGAAGTGAATGGATGGTGACAATGCCCGTAGTCTGCGGTTAGGGAGAGTGAGTCAGTCTCCCTGTATAACAACGCTGAACTTCACAAGTGTATTTCTCCTGGTGGATGCTGGGAAGCTTCTCTACTCTCCTGATAACGTAAACTTCTACAAAACTCCAGATTATTGTCTGATATGTAGTTTAACTGTGTTTGAACTCAAAGTGTCAGACCGCAGTGAAATCAGTGACTTTTGAGAAAATATTTGCTGAACAGGATTGTTGACCTTTTTCAATTTTGTTAGACTTTTTAACTGACCAACTATGTTACCATAGTAACAGCTCTCAGTTAAAGAGATCTCTGCTTTCTGGAAGCCAAGTAACTACAAACCAACATGTCCTCACCCTCCAGCTCTTCAGAGAGTTCATCACAACTTATTAACAGATGTAATTAATGATTAACAGTAATGTGCTGCTCTGGGTGTTTCCTGTTCAAAGATCACTTCTCTGGCCGTCATGGCGCAGATAGTATTCTCCAGCTGAAGGTAATGCAACACATTAGAAATGTTTTCCTCGTCAACATGTCATTACAGAAGATTCAGCAGACGCTTCACTTCTCCAAACGCACAACAAAGGAGGCTCTGGTACGTGATTATATCTGTTTTTTATGGAAACGCTGTCTCTCCGTGTCTTTGTCGTTAGTACTCTATGCCGCTGCCAGGGGCCACAACTGAAAGGGCTTCTGACTGCAGTAGATGTATTATTAAGTGTAGATATAATGCATATAAAACTATACTAATACTCTAAGTCATATGCAGTAACTTACTAAAAGCATTCATCTTTCATGGTAGAAAAATATTCACATCTAAAAGGATCAAATCTGCAGTTTATAAATACTCTATTACAAGCCATAGTCGCCATGTCGCAGGGAGACCAGTGTTATCTCAGCACAGTCTTTTCATTGGACAGTTTAACTCTGTGGACTTTGGGCTCATTCTCCAGGTTCAGCTTTATTGACTTTTTATGACAGAGGATTGCACAAGAAACGCAGCTGCAGCACAGGACGCACATATTCAAATACTTTAATTCTGAATAAAAACATTCCCATCACAACATTAAAACTGAATAAAGTACAAAAATGAACACCACTTTACTGAATATTAAAGAACCTTCAGTCCTTCAGTGAATGTGTCCGCTCCTCCATGCAGGTGTGTGTGCTGGGCTGCAGCTTCATGCCTCCATCTAGTGGACTGATAGTAGAAGTCCAGCAGCTGATGGCAGCTTCCTCTGCCTCACGCTGCTGTCTGACTGCATTCAGCTGCCACTGATATGAAACAGAAACTAGCAGCCAATCAGTGGAGGAGCAGCTGATCTTTTTCCAGGAGAAATGATGGAAAGGAGGATTTGAGTTGATGTGCAGATGAATGATTTGTGTTTCCTCTCCAGGTGAAAGTGGATGTGAGTTGAGCAGCATGAGTCAGTGTGAGGACAGAGAGGAGGGAGTCCCTCCCTCTAAAAGCACTCTGTGTGGGGAACATGACAGCCAGACCAAAGCTCAGAGGTGAGATGAGGATCTCTAACTGTCCAGGACTCAAATCACTCCACCATCATTATTCACTCTCAAAGCTCTGTGTGTGTTGTGTTGAAGCCCAGAGCAGCAGCAGGGACCAGACTCTGCTGGACCTGGACCTGGACCTGAGCCCAGCTGTATCTCCTTCAAGAGTGACCGGTCAAAGCATGGCTTGATTGATTTTAGAGGAGGACAATCCTCTGCTGAAACTGGGTGAGTTTGACCTGCTTACACAGAGACGCACAGAAACACACAGAGATAATGTCATATTATTATAATTTAAGCACCAAGAATCTGTTTACTCTCACTTTCTCTTTACCCTCCATCATGTGTCCACCTCCACCTGTAACATTCTAACCATTATTCAACCACATTTATCTTGCACTATATGCCTCACACCGGCACATCAAGGGTAGAGGATTTTAAAAATTATAAATCAATTATAACCTAATGACAAAAAAACAAATCACACTTCCATTGTTAATTGTGTTCTAGTAGAGACAGATTGCAATACTTAAACATATGTTTTCTAAGATAAAAACAATACACACTGAACAAAATTATAAAAGCAACACTTTTGTTTTTGCCTCCATTCATCATGAGCTGAACTCAAAGATCTAAGACTTTCTATATGTACACAAAAGGCCTATTTCTCTCAAATATTGTTCACTAATCTGTCTGAGTCTGTGTTAGTGAGCACTTCTCCTTTGCTGAGATAATACAACCACCTCACAGGTGTGGCATATCAAGATGCTGATCAGACAGCATGGGGACTGCACAGGTGTATCTTAGGCTGGCCAAAATAAAGGGCCTTAGGCTGGCCACAATAAAAGACCTTAGGCTGGCCACAATAAAGGGCCTTAGGCTGGCCACAATAAAAGGCCTTAGGCTGGCCACAGTAAAGAGCCATTCCAAAATGTGTCCAGAGTGGAAAGTACGAACAATGTTTGCTATTGTCCATTTTCCATTTGTCTGTGGGGTCTCCTTCATCACCTTCCTCTGGAATGTATAAACTACAGCATATTTAGATTCAACATCTAGAGTGCCAACTAATCTAATCTAGTCAGTCAGAGAATCCCCCTTGGGACAGTGAACGTTGTATCTGACGGTTTGAATTTACTGCAGGGATAGCAAAAGGCATAATTAATCACTGAGTACTCAAACCGGTCCCGATTCTTATACCTGCTAGAGGAAAATCGTCTTTTTTTTCGCCAAACATTCTGAGTGGATGTTTGTTCAGCATTCGTTCGCTTCCCTAGATAGCTACTCCAACTTTCTTTTAGCACATATCCATCCACATCCAGTTAGCTTGTATGAGTTGTGTGTTGCTGTCCACAGTATTAAAGGGAAGGGGGATAAAACCAGTCAAGCTGGTGAACCAACACAGCAAACTGAAAGCTGCACAGAAATGCAGACAGAACTGTTGATTCACAGTGGGATCAGCAGTACGACCAACACTTTAAAGTCAAGGGAAACCATCTGATTTGATGCTGTGATCAACACTTTAACTCAAAGGACTTTTACCTTGTGTCTGTCTCTGTGTGGACAGACATAATGTGAGCTAACTCTTCATGATTCCCCCACAGAGTCCACCAGGAGAGCTCAGAGGTTCCCTGTGGTCAGTCTGCCCAGCAGCATCAAACACACCTGGACTCCATATTTATGGTCTGTACATGTACAACAACTACTTTTCCATCTATTCTGTTCACAATAATCTCCACGCTGCACTTTTTAGACCAGTGGATTGTCAGTCTGTCCAACATGGATCTGATGTTTGGTTCCATGATTTGACTTTGATTGTGTCCTTCATATAATATTCTGTTCCAGCTGCTGGAGGAGAACATTGTCACTTTTGTGAAGAACGAGCTGAAGAAGATCCAGAAGGGTCTGAGTTCAGATTACCCAGAATGCTTAGAGAGTCAGATGGAGGATGAGGAGGTGTTGGACGGTGAGGAGGAAGAGCAAAGGAGGAGCAGCAGGGAGGCATTTCTGAAGATCACACTGCACTTCATGAGGAGAATGAAGCAGGAGGAGCTGGCTGAGCGTCTGCAGAGCAGTAAGTGGATTTCTCTAAATCATCATCATCAAAACTTTATTACAGACTCAAGGTCCAAATCTTACCCACAACAATACATAAATACATATCCACAAACACACATAACTACACATAAAAATTCCATAGTAAATCATCATTAGAAAAATAAAAAGTGTAAAATTATTTAAAAAGAAAATCATTGTTCTACCAGGAGACAGTTACACCAGTGTTTCCACATACGGGATTGGTAGCGTGTAGTGCTTAGCCGTATGTTAGTTAAGCCCAATATTATTTCATTGTGTGACCCATTAAGCCGGCAAATGAATTCAAACATTAGGTTTCTTAAAACAGCATGAAAGGTCCTTACTCTTGTGAGTAATATTCTAATTGCAACGTTATACGTTACTTTGAATTTCAATAGACTTGACTTTCTATAATTTGACCACAAGTGCGCAGTATAGAACGGTGTGCAATATGCTTTAAACAAAGATATCTTTACACCAACGGTGCATGCCCTAAATTTACGTAAGAGAATATTGGCTTATGCATACATCATGCGACATTGCCTATAAATATCTTCATCATCTGTCATTTTATCAGTGATAAAATGACCAAGGTATTTCACCTTCTTACAGACACTAAGCTTATGATTAGCCAGTTTAAAATCAGGATAGTTGAAACATTTATCATCTTTAGTTCTGAAGATCATAACGACACTCTTAATGGCGTTATATTTGATATCATGTTCCACACCATATACCGAAGAGATTGTGAGAAGCTGCTGTAATCCAGCACTACTTGGGCTAAAAACCACAAAGTCATCTGCATACATAATATGGTTCACTATGGAATTACCAATCATGCACCCAGTATTACAGGCTCTCAACTGCCTGGACACATCATCCATATAGAGATTAAAAAGAGCAGGTGACAAAATACCTATAGCCCCATTTCACTTGCATAGTCTGGTGGGCATACCAGTAAACCAAAATTCTCACAATATACTTGGGCACCCCTCTTTGCCTTAATTTGCTAAACACTTTACTATGATTTACACGGTCAAATGCTTTAGAAGAATCAATACAAACACATAATCAAAATCAAAACACCTAAAAACTAATGACTTTTTTTCGCTATATTTTTTTCACAATTTCCCTTAGAGCCAGTACCATGTTTAGCTTTAAACCCAAACTTGTTATCTGTGGTATTGATAAATTCATTTAATCTGTCCAGCAGAATTCTTTCTAGTACCTTTGACAATATGCTCACTAACACAATGGGCCTGTAGTTATTTAGACCAGCTTTATCCTTAATGACTGGAACTAATAGAAAAGCCAACATGGAGTCTGGCAATACACCATGTATCATAAAAACAGTAAAACACATGGCAAGCAAAGAGCTATTCTTATACTGGCATTTTTTGGATGTTCAGCAGAAATACAATCCAATCCACTAGCTTTGATATCAGAAAGTTTTTACTATTTTAACTTCCTGTAAGGAGGGTATGTGAAAAGGCATGCTGCTTAAAGAAACAGTGACATCAAGTGGATTTTTTTTTAGCACAGCATACCTACACCGAATGGAAGAGATGGCTTACAGTTTTTCTCGAGTGCTAAGACACATTTCTTGAAAGCTGCTCTCCTTTTCTCTAAACTGTGAACACAAAACCCAATTTTCAAGCTACATTCACAAAACCTCAGACTCTTCTTGCAAAACCAAACTTTCACCTCAAAACAGTTCAATCTGTGCTCAAAACTGAACTATGTTGTCAAATCGTGCCCCGAGTCAATCAAAATTAATAACACTACTGAATAGTCACTAAACACTACGTAGAAAAAAAGAAAACACAATGCTCAGGACATGAAGCTGGAGAAATAAATGTTTATTGTTCACTGTAGGCTAAATGCATGTTGCAAAACCAAAAAAACCCTGTGCATTTAGCACTTGTACAAAAAACAAAACAGAAATCTTGTGCATTTACACCTAGTACTTGTAAAAAAAACTCGGGGCAGTTCAATCTGTGCTCAAAACTGAACTATGTTGTCAAATCATGCCCCGAGTCAATCAAAATTAATAACACTACTGAATAGTCACTAAACACTACGTAGAAAAATAGAAAACACAATGCTCAGGACATGAAGCTGGAGAAATAAATGTTTATTGTTCACTGTAGGCTAAATGCATGTTGCAAAACCATATTGAACCACTCTCTAACCTCGAGTCCTCTGTGAAAACTCACATTGTCCCAAACAACAACATAGATGGGATGCTCATCCTGCTGCCCTAACAGAGCATCTCGCATGTGATTGAGGGAAATGAGGTGAGTGTTGTAGGGCCCCAGGTTGGCATGATGGTGGACAACCCCATGATTGCTGATGGCAGCACATAATGTGACATTGCCACCACACTGCCCAGGAACACCAACAATGGCCCGATGATCAATCACATTACGGCCTGTCCTTCTCCTTTTGGTGAGATTAAACCCAGCTTCATCCATGTAGATGTATTCATGGGGTCTTTCCATTGCATCCAGTTGAAAAACCCTCTGTAGAAATAGATATAGTTTTGTAAGTGACACGGAAAAAGTTATTTAGGCCACTACAGTAAATCACTACTTATAGTAATCAACATTGAATGTGTCTGGATATATGCCAAGCTGTACATACTGGAATTTTTTCTCTTTCACTCTGTCTGAGTTGCGATCAAAGGGCACTCTGTATAGTTGTTTCATGCGCAGTCTGTTGCGCTTGAGGACACGATCAACAGAGAGGCTGACACTGTTGATACCCCCAAAATTTACATGGTCCTCAATGATCTTCTGCTGAATTTCACTCAGTTTAATGGCATGGTTTTCACGGACCATATCAACAATTAGGGTCTCTTGGTGCGGGGAGAACATACCTGCCCTCCCACCCCATGTGGCAGTCTTTCAATTCTACAAAAAGAGAACATGGAGTTACAAAAAATATACATGGAATACTAGGCCTGCAAACAGTTAGACCAACCCTCCATTACAATACTACAGTACATTGGTACAGTGATGTACTGAAACATATACAGTATTTACTTACAGTATACTGTGGAACAGTATATAGTATGTCATACAGTAATTGCTGTCAACATTTACATACTGTACTATAATGTCAAAAAAAGGTAATTACCTGTTCTCTTCTCTAAATCTTCGGATTATGGTGGACACAGTGAATCTACTGATGTTTGGTTGTACCCTTTGTCCAGCCGCCCTCATACTCATACCATGGACAAGAACATGGTCAATTACAGTAGCTCTGATTTCATCAGATATTACTGTTCTTTGTCTTCGCTGACCACCTCGACCTCGATCTCCTCTCTCTCTCAGATTTCTATCCATTGTAGGGCCTCACAAACCAGTGCTCTCTGAACTGGCTTACTGTATATGTTCCCCCACATCATTAGCCACAAGTGTGATCAATTTTGAGTTGTTGTGTTCAAGTGGTGACACCTGTGCTTTAATTGGGTTTGACTTTTGTCACCTGTGCTCACCATTATGCAGCACGGATGCATCACAATGAAAATGTTGGCAAGTTGTGTCTAAACAGGTGAAAAGTGCTTATGGTTTTACCAAAAGAGTGATTGACTGAGCATTTGGTTCAGACAATAGGGTTTAGTGTTTTAGCAATTGAGAAAAACTGTAAACAGGTTGAATTAAGTTCAATACATTCTTCACTGAGTGACTTAAAATGTGGTCTTCCAAATGATTGAGAGGACGTTAAAGGGTTCTTATTTTTATGTTTATAATAGGGCTTACTGCCTTCATACAGAGCATGAACTATGTCGGCATACATGGACTATACAGTGGATATAAAAAGTCTACACACCCCTGTTAAAATGCCAGGTTCTTATGATGTAAAATAATGAGACAAAGATAAATCATGTCAGAACGTTTTCCACCTTTAATGTGACCTATAATGTCAACAATTCAATTGAAAAACAAATTGAAATCTGTGAGGGGGAAAAATGAAAAATAAACCCCTCAAATAACCTGGTTGTATAAGTGTGCACACCCTTAGACTAATACTTTGTTGAATCACCATTTGATTTTATTAAAGCAGTCAGTCTTTTTGGGTAGGAGTCTATTAGCATGGCACATCTTGAAGTGGCAATATTTGCCCATATATATTATATATTTGTTCAGTTGGATTCAGGTCTGGGCTCTGGCTGGGCCATTCCAAGACATCAGTCTTCTTCTGGTGAAGCCATGCTTTTGTGGATTTGGATGTGTGCTTTGGGTCGTTGTCGTGCTGAACGGTGAACTTCATCTTCAGCTTTCTAACCGACGCCTCAAGTTTTTGTGCCAAAACTGCCTGGTATTTGGAACTGTTCATAATTCCCTCCACCCTGACTAAGGCCCCGGTTCCAGCTGAAGAAAAACAGCCCCAAAGCATGATGCTGCCACCACCATACTTCACTGTGGGTTTGCTGGTCCTTGGGTGATGTACAGTGTTGTTTTTGCAGCAAACATACCTTTTGGAATTATGGCCACAAAGTTCCACCTCGGTTTCATCAGACCATAACATATTTTCCCACATGCTTTTGGGGGACTTGATGTTTGTTTTTGCAAACTTCAGCCATGCTTGGATGTTTTTCTTTGTAAGAAAAGGCTTCCGTCTTTCCACCCTACCCCATAGCCCATTCAGATGAAGAATACGGGAGATAGTTGTCACATGTACCACACAGCTAATACTTGCTAGAAATTCCTGCAGTTCCTTTAATGTTGCTGTAGGCCTCTTGGAAGCCTCCCTGACCACTTTTCTTTCCGTCTTTTCATTAATTTTGGAGGGACGTCCAGTTCTTGGTAAAGTCACAGTTGTGCCATATTTTCTCCACTTGATGATGACTGTCTTCACTGTGTTCCATGGTATATCTAATACTTTGGAAATTCTTTTGTACCCGTCTCCTCACTTATGTCTTTCAACAATGAGATCTCTCTGATGCTTTGGAAGCTCTCTGCGGACCGTGACTTTTGCTCGGAGATGCATCTGAGAAAATATCAGGAAAATCCGCTTGGAATTGCTGAACTTCATTTGTGATTAATCAGAGTCACTTTAAATGATGGCAGGTGTGTAATGACTTCTAGTTAACCTAAGTTTACCTGTGATTGGTTAATTCTGAACACAGCCCAGAGATGCTCACAAGTCTAGAGCCCAAGTCAAGTCTCAAGTCTCTCGTGGTTAGAATGAATATATATCACCTGCTGCGTTCAATCCAGGTTGCTTATAAAACTGCAGAGCTATAAGGAACACTGTTAACCTGTTTTTAACTAGCAGAGCACAACCATGTAATGTATAATGCAATTATTGATGGCTTATTAAATACTGTAAGACAAAACACTCCCCAGACTCTTAAACCCAGTGTAACGTTAACTAAATAAAAGTGTGATTTTGCATAATCAACAATAAACCTGTCTGTTTTTAACTTACAGAGCACAACCATGTAGCCTAATGTACAATGTATCTACAATTAATGACAACTTATAAACTACTGTAAGTCAACAAACCCTGCAGACTCTCAAACCAGTGTAATGTTATAACTAAATAAAACTGTAAGGTTACATGATCAACAATAAACCTGTAACCTCTTTCTAGCCAACGGCAATAATTAAGGTGATGGCAGCCAGCGGGAAGTTTGGCAAGTAAACAAATGCAAGACAGCAAAGGTGATGTTGCTATAGACTAAATGAAAAATGGTACAGATATTTATAGTGGTGTTAATGATAACAATCATAATGTTAATGATTATAATAACAATAATAACAATAGGACTAGTAACAATAGTCGTTGCAGCAGAGGGTGTTGAGCAGGAACACGGGGGCAGCAGGTGACCTGCAACCACAGATCCAGACTCCACAGCTCCAGAGCCAGAAAACCTGCAGGAAGTGATAGGAGGAGAGAGGAGAGGACGAGAAAGCACAAGACTACCAGAAAGGGGAGAAGTTGTGTTAGTAACATGCAATAATGGGATGAGGTTGCATACAGAGGGAGAGAAAGTAGAGGAGAGAGGAGCTCAGTGCATCATGGGAAATCCCCCGGTAGTCTAGGCCTATAGCAGCATAACTAAGGGATGGTTCAGGACTACCTGAGCCAGCCCTAACTATAAGCTTTATCAAAGAGGAAAGTCTTAAGCCTACTCTTAAATGTGGAGATGGTGTCTGCCTCCTGAACCCAAACTGGAACCTGGTTCCACAGGAGAGGAGCTTGATAGCTGAACGCTCTGGCTCCTAGTCTACTTTTGGAGACTCTAGGAATCACAAGTAACCCTGCATTCTGGGAGCGCAGTGCTCTGGTGGGGTAGTAAGGTACTATGAGCTCTTTAAGATAAGATGGTGCCTGACCATTAAGAGCTTTGTAGCTCTTACTTGCCATCCCTTCACACAAAGCAATCCCAGTCCCTGTTCTCATCTGTGACACCACGATGGTGGAACGAGCTACCGCACACCATCAGAGCAGGGGCGTCCCTCTCTGACTTCAAGAAGCTCTTGAAAACTCATCTCTTCCAAGAACAATTCCTGTAACACCTGTAACTCCTAACCGCTAACATGCACTTCCTGTGTTCTTCTTCTTCTTCTGTCCTCTACAATTATTTGTATTGGGTGGTGATGGCTCATAGATATGATGCTTGCTTTTGGTGTGGGAGACCTGGGTTCGATTCCCACTGTGAGATATCTATCATTGTGTCCTTGAGCAAGACACTTAACCCCTAGTTGCTCCAGAGGCGTGTGACCTCTGACATGTGAAGCAATTGTAAGTCGCTTTGGATAAAAGCGTCAGATAAATGTATTCATTGCACTTTTTTGTTTTGATTGCACTTTTTTTTAACTCTTACTTCCTTCCCTAGGTATCTACCCCATTGATGTGATACAGTGGGTACGGAAAGTATTCAGACCCCTTTAAATTTTTCACTCTTTGTTTCATTGCAGCCATTTTCCAAAAATCAAAAAAGTTCATTTTATTTCTCAGTAATGTACACTCAGCACCCCATCTTGACAGAAAAAAACAGAAATGTAGAAATTTTTGCAAATTTATTAAAAAAGAAAAACTGAAATATCACATGGTCAGAAGCACCCTTTTGATCTAATACAGCCATGAGTCGTTTTGGGAAAGATGCAACAAGTTTTTCACATCTGGATTTGGGTATCCTCTGCCATTCCTCCTTGCAGATCCTCTCCAGTTCTGTCAGGTTGGATGGTAAACGTTGGTGGACAGCCATTTTCAGGTCTCTCCAGAGATGCTCAATTGGGTTTAAGTCAGGGCTCTGGCTGGGCCATTCAAGAACAGCCACGGAGTTGTTGTGAAGCCACTCCTTCGTTATTTTAGCGGTGTGCTTAGGGTCATTGTCTTGTTGGAAGGTAAACCTTCGGCCCAGTCTGAGGTCCAGAGCGCTCTGGAAAAGGTTTTCGTCCAGGATATCCCTGTACTTGGCCGCATTCATCTTTCCCTCGATTGCAACCAGTCGTCCTGTCCCTGCAGCTGAAAAACACCCCCACAGCATGATGCTGCCACCACCATGCTTCACTGTTGAGACTGTATTGGACAGGTGATGAGCAGTGCCTGGTTTTCTCCACACATACCGCTTAGAATTAAGGCCAAAAAGTTCTATCTTGGTCTGATCAGACCAGAGGATCTTATTTATCACCATCTTGGAGTCCTTCAGGTGTTTTTTAGCAAACTCCATGCGGGCTTTCATGTGTCTTGCACTGAGGAGAGGCTTCCGTCGGGCCACTCTGCCATAAAGCCCCGACTGGTGGATTGCTGCAGTGATGGTTGACTTACTACAACTTTCTCCCATCTCCCGACTGCATCTCTGGAGCTCAGCCACAGTGACCTTTGGGTTCTTCTTTACCTCTCTCACCAAGGCTCTTCTCCCCCGATAGCTCAGTTTGGCCGGACGGCCAGCTCTAGGAAGGGTTCTGGTCATCCCAAACGTCTTCACTATGAGGATTATGGAGGCCACTGTGCTCTTAGGAACCTTAAGTGCAGCAGAAGTTTTTTTGTAACCTTGGCCAGATCTGTGCCTTGCCACAATTCTGTCTCTGAGCTCTTCAGGCAGTTCCTTTGACCTCATGATTCTCATTTGCTCTGACATGCACTGTGAGCTGTAAGGTCTTATATAGACAGGTGTGTGGCTTTCCTAATCAAGTCCAATCAGTATAATCAAACACAGCTGGACTCAAATGAAGGTGTAGAACCATCTCAAGGATGATCAGAAGAAATAGACAGCACCTGAGTTAAATATGAGTGTCACGGCAAAGGGTCTGAATACTTATGACCATGTGATATTTCAGTTTTTCTTTTTTAATAAATTTGCAAAAATTTCTACATTTCTGTTTTTTTCTGTCAAGATGGGGTGCTGAGTGTACATTACTGAGAAATAAAATGAACTTTTTTGATTTTTGGAAAATGGCTGCAATGAAACAAAAAGTGAAAAATTTAAAGGGGTCTGAATACTTTCCGTACCCACTGTATGTACTGTGAGCTCTCACTAGTATTTATCGCTGCTCTTACTAGAATGTATTGTCAGTTGTAGATCTGTAGTTGATGCTTTGTTGTTCCTCAAATGTAAGTCGCTTTGGATAAAAGCATCTGCCAAATGAGTAAATGTAAATGCCCGGGTTGTCCAGTGCGCAATCCTGGTTTAGTAGTGTTCTCTCGGACTTGACGTTGACCCTTTTTGGCAACATGACTCCATTTTGGAGAGCCTGTCAATGATGTTAATCCACTGGGACCATCCGTTGCTGTAGCATCTTCCACACTCAGAGCAGTGGCCCACGTTGCAGATGAAAAACCGAAGGTTCCCAATGGTGCAGCCCCACCTGCCACATCGCCCAGTCCATGGGCCCCAACACTCACAGCCGGCGTGTCCATATCATCGCCGTGAGCCAGGTTAATAGAACACTCTAATACACCCACACGGCGATTCATTTCCATTGTAATGGCACGAAAATCTTTGCCAACATCAGTCTGTAGCTGCACCGCACATTTCAAGGTGCAGACCTCAGCAGACAACTGTTCCATTTTCCCAAGTTCAATTTTCTCGAGACATCCATGTTAGTAAATATCACCGGTGGCAATTCAGACAAACCTGGGGATATCCTCCCCACACTCATTCAGTACTTTTAGGCAGCTCTTTATGTTTATGTGAGACGTTCTTCTGTGTAGTAGAGCATAGTTCAAACTACATTTTGTTGGAGGACTCTGTCCACTTGGAGTCAAAAGTGTTTGTAGCCAGGAGGACAGTCTCGTCCTGGCTCAATGTCTTAATTTTTACAGCAAGGAAATTAAGTAACTCATCTTCCAGAATGATTTTTTCCGTCAACTGTCTAATAAACGGGACATTTACTGATGGCTCAACAGATGGAGGGAAACATGTTTATGTAAGGAAATGAAACTGTCACATGAACTTTATCAGTCACTGATTGATCTGTTTTGTGTCTTCATTCAGGAAGTCATTCTGCAGTCTGTCAGCGTAAATTTAAATCTAAGCTGAAGAAGAAGTTCCAGTGTGTGTTTGAGGGGATTGCTAAAGCAGGAAACCCAACCCTTCTGAACCAGATCTACACAGAGCTCTACATCACAGAGGGAGGGACTGCAGAGGTCAATGATGAACATGAGGTCAGACAGATTGAAACAGCATCCAGGAAACCAGACAGACCAGAGACAACCATCAGACAAGAAGACATCTTTAAAGCCTCACCTGGAAGAGATGAACCAATCAGAACAGTGATGACAAAGGGAGTGGCTGGCATTGGGAAAACAGTCTTAACACAGAAGTTCACTCTGGACTGGGCTGAAGGCAAAGCCAACCAGGACATACAGTTCACATTTCCATTCACTTTCAGAGAGCTGAATGTGCTGAAAGAGGAAAAGTACAGCTTGGTGGAACTTGTTCATCACTTCTTTCCTGAAACCAAAGAAGCAGGAATCTGCAGGTTTGAAGACTTCCAGGTTGTTCATCTTTGACGGTCTGGATGAGTGTCGACTTCCTCTGGACTTCCACAACAATGAGGTCCTGACTGATGTTACAGAGTCCACCTCAGTGGATGTGCTGCTGACAAACCTCATCAGGGGGAACCTGCTTCCCTCTGCTCGCCTCTGGATAACCACACGACCTGCAGCAGCCAATCAGATCCCTCCTGGGTGTGTTGACATGGTGACAGAGGTCAGAGGGTTCACTGACCCACAGAAGGAGGAGTACTTCAGGAAGAGGTTCAGAGATAAGGAGCAGGCCAGCAGAATCATCTCCTACATCAAGACATCACGAAGCCTCCACATCATGTGCCACATCCCAGTCTTCTGCTGGATCACTGCTACAGTTCTGGAGGAGGTGTTGAAGACCAGAGAGGGAGGAGAGCTGCCCAAGACCCTGACTGAGATGTACATCCACTTTCTGGTGGTTCAGTCCAAACTGAAGAACACCAAGTATGATGGAGGAGCTGAGACAGATCCACACTGGAGTCCAGAGAGCAGGAAGATGATTGAGTCTCTGGGAAAACTGGCTTTTGAGCAGCTGCAGAAAGGCAACCTGATCTTCTATGAATCAGACCTGACAGAGTGTGGCATCGATATCAGAGCAGCCTCAGTGTACTCAGGAGTGTTCACACAGATCTTTAAAGAGGAGAGAGGGCTGTACCAGGACATGGTGTTCTGCTTCATCCATCTGAGCGTTCAGGAGTTTCTGGCTGCTCTTCATGTCCATCTGACCTTCATCAACTCTGGTGTTAATCTGCTGGCAGAAGAACAATCAACATCCCGGTGGTCTAAACTGTTTGGAGACAAATCAAAATATCTCTACCAGAGTGCTGTGGACAAGGCCTTACAGAGTCCCAATGGACACCTGGACTTGTTCCTCCGCTTCCTCCTGGGAATTTCGTTGCAGACCAATCAGAATGTCCTACAAGGCCTGCTGACACAGACAGGAAGTGGCTCAGAAAACAATCAGGTAGCTGTCGATTACATCAAGAAGAAGATCAAAAAGACTCCCTCTGCAGAGAAAAGCATCAATCTGTTCCACTGTCTGAATGAACTGAAGGATCGTTCTCTAGTGGATCAGATCCAACAGTCCCTGAGTTCAGGAAGTCTCTCCACAGATAAACTCTCTCCTGCTCAGTGGTCAGCTCTGGGCTTCATCTTACTGTCATCAGAAAAAGATCTGGACGTGTTCGACCTGAAGAAATACTCTGCTTCAGAGGAGGCTCTTCTGAGGCTGCTGCCAGTGGTCAAAGCCTCCAAGAAAGCTCTGCAAGTGGAATTTATTCAGTAATAAATACTCTGATATCTTTCAAATGGAAAAATAAATAAATGTGTTATTACTTGTTTCCTTCCTGTTGTCTCTCCAGACTGAGTGACTGTAACCTCTCAGAGAGAAGCTGTGAAGCTCTGTCCTCAGTTCTCAGCTCCTAGTCCTCTAGTCTGAGAGAGCTGGACCTGAGTAACAACAATCTGCAGGATTCAGGACTGAAACTGCTGTCTGCTGGACTGGACAGTCCACACTGTGCACTGGAAACCCTGAGGTCAGGATTCATCAACCCTGTCACTTGTCAATCAAAAGTTTACATTTTCTTCTACATTTATGCTAAACATAAACAGGCTAGAATTGTCATTGTGAGCATACTGGTGCAACCATTTAGCTAGTACAGTCTCACAGAGCTGCTAGCATGGCTGTAGAAATCACAGTGACATGGTTACTGTTAACTCCATGAGTCAGTCATGGTAATATTTATTTATTTGAAGACAGGTTCCTCAGATGATTGGCCATGAGTGTTGTTTTCTGTGTTTGCAGTTTGCAGGAAGGCTGTGCTTCTATGACGTCAGCTTTGAGCTCCAACCCCTCCCATCTGAGAGAGCTGGACCTGAGCTACAATCATCCAGGAGACTCAGGAGTGAAGCTGCTGTCTGCTGGACTGAAGGATCCACACTGGAGACTGGACACACTCAGGTATGAAGAGGCCTACTACAGCTACACACAATCAGTTTGATAGAGGAGGTCTTTTTGGTTAATGGAGGATTTGAGTGTTATATGAACAATCACACATGTAGAAAGTGTTTTGCCCAGAACAGAAACATTTTTGACATTCTACTCAGAGTTTAACCAGTTTCATCTCTGTACAGAGAGAGTTCCTATCTTAGTACAAAGACTGAAAGCCTTGAGGTGCTACTGAAATGTATTTGTCAGGAGAAGGCTGAGTGTAGTGGCTGAGAGCACTGATAGAGCAATTGGTAATCTAGGTAGAATAAATAAATAATCTGTCAACTCACATAACCATTGCCCTCTTTGTCTTTTAAGAAAGGGTACTTCAACATCAGGGCCTTACACACTGTCACATAGTCATCATTGGACAGAAACCTGTAACAATGTAAAAAAGGGTGAGGACTGTAACATCAAACATACAAATAACTTGCATTAATATGATTTTGTTGTGATCTGATGTCTCAATCTTGCACACCTGTTTTTGGTCCAACTTTGTCTGAACGTCTCTGGGGAGTTTAGGAATGATGAAAACTGCAGGGAAGGCTGCTGATGGGGTGGCATGACTAAAGGTGAAAGAAAAAAAAGGCTTATGCATAATATGCAAAACCAATTAATAAAGCTCTACTATTTTATCTATACTTTTTTTGTAAGCTGGCTACATTAGTTTATCCCACTAAAATACCCACTGGGGCAAGGTGCTAATAGTCATCTGAATTCTATATACCCAGATAGAAATTTTAGTGCCAATGCAACAGAGCATAACTTTAATACCAGATTTAAGCCTGTAGCCCATGTATTTTTCCATGGCTTCACTTAAGCCTACAACAATCACACAACATTAACTTACCTGCCCTCACTGTAAAGGCACAGGTTTGAGTGTTAGTGTCACAGTTTCCTTCCACTGATGAACTAATAGATTGAATTTAGCTTGCTTTTTAAATGATTCTTCAAAGAGGTATGAAGCCATCCTCTCAGTCAAATCAAAAAGTCCACTGCTTCTCCATCAACTTCATTATCTAAAATTTTAAAAGGAAAAAAGAAATGTTAACCACCACAGTAGTAACAGCATAATGTGCACAATTCAAAATAAAAATGAAAGTACCCATGTCAAGCTCCTCCTGTCTCCTGTCTCCTGTCTCAGAGACAGCACATGTAGACTGTTCAATTTTGGGGTGCATCGCTCAAATCTGCAGGGGCACAGCAGAGGGCGCCCATGCTACACCTTTATATACAGTCTATATGCTCCATGGCAACAATGTCCATTACACTCACAAAATACATAATAAATAAAACAGTATAACAAAACTAGTTAACAGTGTAAGTTAAACAGTTGAATGATGATAAAATGCAGATTTAATTTAATTATACCACAAGCAGTGATGGCAAGTGGCATTAACTCAGCTAAACTAGTATAGTTCCTAAAAAAAAATATAATTTCGGATAATTTATTAGCACAAATTATGCAGGTATTAAAGTGGATGTGTGTGGGGATGAAGGGAAGGGAAGGGAAGGGAAAGGGAGGGTAGGTCGAGTGATCTGAAACAAGCATGCTGGTAGGCATGTGCTGTTGATCCTGGATCGTTGTCTGTCTTGCATTGAGCAATCTGAAACAAACGGGGCAGTCTGAGTGGAGTAGTATATGTAGCCTTGACAGGTGATTGGAGGTGTGGTTAAGGCGTGGCCCCACTCCCAAATCTAATTTAACAAAATAACTGAATTTAATGAAAACGAGGAGCTGGATACCATATTGTGCCAGACAGATTTTACTTTAACAAGAGAGTATTAATATACTCCTTTGTATGTATTGATGTTTGAACTGTTGATCTGAGTTCAACGAGGCAAACTAGTCCCCCCAAGCTAACCAGGAAATGCCTCCCCTGGACTCCACTGCACAAACTAACGCCCAGCAGCCCTCCAGAGACCCTGCACAGAAATAAACAATGCATCAAGATGCATCGCCAATCGCCCCACAATCCCATTGCAGCCCTCTGAACCGTAACCAGACTTACCCGTGCACCCAGAAACCCGGGGAGCGCAGAGGATCCCAGACCACATGTCTCAGTGAGAGCTGCACCCCGCCCCGAGGGAGAACAGCAGAGATCCGTGGGTGGGAGCTCCCCGCTGCCAGGGACACAATAACACTGGAAAACCAGGGCCGACAGTCCACTGACAATCCATCTAACCCACCTTTGAATTTACAATGCTCTTCCTTCAGTGACCTCAATTCTAGATAGAATTAACTCCGCGATCAAATCATCCATGGTAGTCTTCACAGTGAACATGGGTCGTAAATATATGAAATGCGCAGACACTAAAGGGTGTCCGCACATTGTACACAAGTGGGGTTTTAGTTTGTATCTGGCAGCAGTAAAGTGATGAAAGGACAACTGTGTGGTCTGTTCTCGCAGGACAAGTCTTGGGCCAGATGGTGCTGCTGAATACAGCTTTTAATATGGGTGTTGTTGTGGTAGTGATGCCAATCCCAGGTGGAGCCCGTGGAGGGACGAGCTGAAGGAGTCGGGCTCACACAGGAGAGGACAGACAGACTCTGGGTGTCTGTGAGGGAGGATTCAGTGTCCGTCCAGACCAACTGAAAGGCAAACACAGAGTGGTCTGGAGAAGTTAGAGCACGTCTTTTCTGTTTCATCCCTCCATCTCCAGTTCTTCTTTTCAGTTCAGGAGGGTGAAGAGAAGAAGAGAGAGGATAAGAAAAGAGGAATAGGACATTATTTTTAGCACTTAAGTCTTTTTTTAATGTAGAACTTTGGATTTGTTTAAATAGAAAGTGTCTGGAACAAGGACTGCTTTTCAAGTGAGACTGAAAATAAACAGTGTTATCCAAAAAGAGGTTTGTGTGTGTTATCAGATGTTGTCCTCCTCTTTCACACACACCATCATCCTGTGGGTCACCGGGGCTCAGCGTTTTTGCAACCCACTGGCCCCATCGGGCCAAGTTTGAAACTTACTGGCCCAAAGTTTTTATTGTCTCCAAAAGTTGTAATTTATCAGACTTATAAGTTATGTTATTCTGTCAACATGTTTAATCATTTATTAAATACATCCTGGATATATAAAAAAAACTAAACAAAAATGTAATCACAGTTAAAATGATAAAAAAATAAAAAGGTTAACAAACAATTTACTTTAAAAACAAAAATATACTAACAGACTCAAACATGAGGTGCTCTGTCTCCCACTGACAGCCTGTTAATTAGACAGTAGTTGCAGACACGTCGCCATGGTAGTGACAGGTCAATCACAAGGCAATCCTGCCCTGTTTTTCACTAAATGGGCCCATAATTTACTAATTAAACATTAAGCTGTGTTGAAGAAGAATGTAGGTTTAAGTTCTGTCGGCATGGTTTCATTTTCAGACTATGGTTTCAGGAACCACAAGTAACCCTGTATTCTGGGATGCACGTAGTGTATATATGTGTGTGAGAGGAATGTAATGTCCATGTTTGATGCTGCTCTGACCCCCCTCCTCCTTTCAGGGTGGAGCCTGCTGGAGTCCGATGGTTGAGACCAGGTCTGAGGAAGTGTAAGTGTTTTTTTCATTTGATTCATGAAAACATTCTACCATCTTCAGACTGTGACATCACTTATTCAAAGTGCCAATCAATGAACAGATGATAGATCAATAACTGCAGCTGGATTGTGTCTCGTTCTCTCATCAGATTCCTGTGAACTCACAATCGACACAAACACAGTAAACAGATACATCAAAGTGTCTGACAACAACAGGAAGGCGACACTTGTGAAGGAGGTTCAGTCATATCCTGATCATCCAGACAGGTTTGATATCTGGCCTCAGCTGCTGTGTAGAGATGGTCTGACTGGTCGCTGTTACTGGGAGGTCGAGTGGAGACGAGGAGTTTCTATATCAGTGAGTTACAGAGGAATCAGAAGGAGAGGAGACAGTGAAGACTGTGAGTTTGGATGGAATGATCAGTCCTGGAGTCTGAACTGCTCTGTTGGTCGTTACTCTGTCTGGTACAATAACAGAGAAACATCCATCATCTCCTCCTCCTCCTCCTCCTCCTCCTCCTCCTCCTCCTCCTCCTCCTCCTCCTCTGGTAGAGTAGCAGTGTATGTGGACTGTCCTGCTGGCTCTCTGTCCTTCTACAGAGTCTCCTCTGACACACTGATCCACCTCCACACCTTCAACACCACATTCACTGAACCTCTTTATCCTGGATTTGCGCTCTGGTCAAGTTCTGGTTCCTCAGTGTCTCTGTGTTCTGTGCAGGAGGGAGAGTCTCCTCCTGGTAGAGAACAGATCAGTTGAGTCTGTACAGGATCACAGAAATCTTTCAGCTTCTTGTAATAAATCCATCAATGAACTTTGTACAAAGTGATTGAACAGATTCCTCATTTCCATGTAAACTTCTTCCACTTCCAGTCCTTTAAAGATGGAAGCTCTGATCATTAAATGGTGGAAATGCCGTTGACTTGGACCTTCTGTCATGTGTTGCTTTGAATTCTGGCTCTTGTTCCAATAAAAGCAGAATGTTACTGCGAGTGTGTTTGTTGTCTTTCTCAGCTCAGGACTACTGACACCATTCAGCTGGAAGATACAGTATATGGCCAAAAGTCTGTGGATGGCATAAAGAAATGCTTTTCCCAGTTTGGTGTGGAAGAACATGCCAGGCCTGTCCAGAGCCCCTTCTGAACCCCATCCAACTTGTTTCACTGTCAGCTGTCCATATACTTTTGGCCATATAGTTTATCATCCTGAGACAAAACTGCTGTCTGTCTGCGGTCTACAGAGTCCAGATCTCACAAGAGGAAACACATGACGTTTCTGAGTAGTGACAGGGAAACAAAGCTTTCTGAACATCTCAACTGTTTCCTTTCAGTCACAAATTTTCTTCCATTTCACCTCATCTCAACTTTGTTTCTCTAAATTTATAAACTTTTTTTCTCCTCCTCACAGTGGCTGCTACAGAGTCTCCTCTGACACACTGATCCACCTCCACACCTTCACCACCACATTCACTGAACCTCTTTATCCTGGCTTTGGGCTCTGGTGGTCTGGTTCCTCAGTGTCTCTGTGTTCTGGGTAGGAGGGAGAGTCTCTGTAACTATGTGTACAGTGGATAGTAAAAGTCTAAACACCCCTGTTAAAATGCCAGGTTCTTATTAAGTAAAATAATGAGACAAAGATAAATCATGTCAGAACTTTTTCCACCTTTAATGTGACCTATAATGTCAACAATTCAATTGAAAAACAAACTGAAATCTTCGAGGGGGAAAAATGAAAAATAAAAACCTTGCAATAACCTGGTTGCATAAGTGTGCACACCCTCAGACTAATACTTTGTTGAATCACCTTTTCATTTTATTAAAGCAGTCAGTCTTTTTGGGTAGGAGTCTATTAGCATGGCACATCTTGAAGTGGCAATATTTGCCCTCTCTTCTTTGCAAAAGTGTTCCAAATCTGTCAGATTGCGAGGACATCGCCTGTGCACAGCCCTCTTCAGATCACCCCACAGATGTTCAGTTGGATTCAGGTCTGGGCTCTGGCTTGGCCATTCCAAAACATCAGTCTTCTTCTGGTGAAGCTGTGCTTTTGTGGATTTGGATGTGTGCTTTGGGTCGTTGTCGTGCTGAACGGTGAACTTCATCTTCAGCTTTCTAACCGACGCCTCAAGTTTTTGTGCCAAAACTGCCTGGTATTTGGAACTGTTCATAATTCCCTCCACCCTGACTAAGGCCCCGGTTCCAGCTGAAGAAAAACAGCCCCAAAGCATGATGCTGCCACCACCATACTTCACTGTGGGTTTGCTGGTCCTTGGGTGATGTACAGTGTCGTTTTTGCAGCAAACATACCTTTTGGAATTATGGCCACAAAGTTCCACCTCGGTTTCATCAGACCATAACATATTTTCCCACATGCTTTTGGGGGACTTGATGTTTGTTTTTGCAAACTTCAGCCATGCTTGGATGTTTTTCTTTGTAAGAAAAGGCTTCCGTCTTTCCACCCTACCCCATAGCCCATTCATATGAAGAATACGGGAGATAGTTGTCACATGTACCACACAGCAAGTACTTGCTAGAAATTGCTGCAGTTCCTTTAATGTTGCTGTAGGCCTCTTGGAAGCCTCCCTGACCACTTTTCTTTCCGTCTTTTCATTAATTTTGGAGGGACGTCCAGTTCTTGGTAAAGTCACAGTTGTGCCATATTTTCTCCACTTGATGATGACTGTCTTCACTGTGTTCCATGGTATATCTAATACTTTGGAAATTCTTTTGTACCCGTCTCCTGACTTATGTCTTTCAACAATGAGATCTCTCTGATGCTTTGGAAGCTCTCTGCGGACCGTGACTTTTGCTCGGAGATGCATCTGAGAAAATATCAGGAAAATCCTACTAGAACAGCTGAGCTTTCTTTGTGATTAATCAGAGTCACTTTAAATGATGGCAGGTGTGTAATGACTTCTAGTTAACCTGAGTTTGAATGTGATTGGTTAATTCTGATAACAGCCACATCCCCAGTTATAAGAGGGTGTGCACACTTATGCAACCAGATTATTTGATGGTTTTTATTTTACATTTTTCCCCCTCAAAGATAATTCTATTGAATTGTTGACATTATAGGTCACATTAAAGGTGGAAAAAGTTCTGACATGATTTATCTTTGTCTCATTATTATTATTATCTTATATCATAAGAACCTGGCATTTTAACAGGTTCTTTGCTGTCCACACATGGAGTCAGATGACATGGTACACTACAGGGAGAGCTGTTCTTGTTTTTCTGATGTGAAGAGGGAACGTGATGCAGCACAGGCTGCAAAGCTCTGAACCCATTTGACCTTAGGGGGTCCACTGGTGGTCCAAAGGTGGACTGGACTACTTCCTTCTGATGCACCTGAAGGTACAGCAAAGACTACTGAGTCCTCAGGAAGTGCAGCGCGTCCTCAGCACAGCATGGACCCTTTTGTTTGTCCTTGGCCTCTAACCTTGACATTTTGAAAACCTGGTACTGAGAGATGTGGAGGTAAACAGGAGTTCCTACCAGGTGATGCAGCTGCTGGGGAAGCTGTGACCGACGTTTTACTACAACGTCCAACTGCAATCTGGATTTCAACAGAAAGTCGGTTAGTGTGACAACCTTGTGATTTGAGATCTACTGGCACTGCTGTTGTATTTAGTTATCACAGTCACTTCACATTTAACCTCATCAGGTCTATTTCTGAATCTGTCAGGACCAGGAGCAGACCAACTCTGGATGAGGTGCGTTTGATGTGTCCCCCTCCGTCAGCCTTCACGGGCTTCAGGTCTAAAATAGAAGTGACAGATAACAGGATCAGAAAACCAGCTGCACATGAAGTGAGTCACCGTCAAAACTCCTTCAAAGAGCGGAGCCTCAGTCCAGCAGGACCTGCTGCTGTCCTGCTGTATTTATATCCAACAGTCAGACCACGACCGCCGGGATCCTCTGAGTCTCGTGCACATTAGTCAGCATGTGGACACAGGCGGGGGGGTTCACAGATCTATATATGTATTAGATACTGTATATACAGGTCTGAAACACGAGACTGCATCTCTGACTCAAAACAACCAAACACGTCGTGAGCCTCAAACAGCTGAGCATGTGCACACGGGGACCAGCAGGTTCTCTGCACCACGACGCCTTTAGCGCCTCTTTTCCTGAACCTAACAAGTAGTTCTGGTGCCTGAACCCAAACCGGCCCATGTTAGGAAGGCGTCTCACAAAAGGACATGAAGGAGCAGCGTCTGAGCCTGACGACGGGCTGGTCCCTTCAGTCAGCTGAGGAGGAGGTCACAGAGGTCACAGAGGTCACAGAGGGCGATCTCACCATCATTATCCAGTCTCTCTCTTGTCTCTCTGTTTATAGATCTGGATCTGGTTACTGATCCGTTTCAGGTGAACTTTATGTCTGTAGGTCAGCGGGGTCGTTCTTACTGTACACGTGTATGTAGATATAAATGACGTTCTGCAGTGGGAGGAGTCTGAGACGGAGGTGAGAGACGGTCTTTAAAAAATATTTATTATTATCATGAATAAATAAAACCTGGGAGAAGAAGGAGGACGTCCCTCTGCAGTCACAGCTGACAGATACAGATCTTATAGAAATCCCTTAATAACAGCTCTGCCTCCTGGATCAGTGGCTCTCGGCTTCTCGGGACCTGAATGGGCCTAAATGACGACGTACGTTTGGTGCTTTATCTTATCTGTTGACACTTCATATAATAGGTGCGACTCGATGTGATCCAGGTCGACCTTCCACAAACACCCTCAGACTATTTCCCAGCATGCCTCGGTCCAGCTGGGTCACTCTCAGAAACATGACCCCCCCCCCCCCAGAAAAACCCTCTTGAGCTGAGCTATTCGAGTCCACTCAGTAAAAATAGCCTCCGCTCGCAGCGGCAGACGACTAAGTAAGGAGGCGTTCACTGACCCTGGTAAATATAGGGAAACATGTGCACCGCTAAATACAGACTATGTTGGAGGCTGGGAAAGTCCCTGAGACCTGAGGAGGACAGGGACAGAAATAAAACCTTCCCCACTCTGAGAGAATGAAATGATGACATACAGAGGTAACAGATCAAACTTTATTCACTCCTTCAAACGTTACAGCACAAAGTTCAAGTTTTAAAGTTTCACAAAGAGACAAACACGTCCTGAACATGATAAATCAACTCCTTCTAGTCCAGACTTTGTCCAGACCCCAATGACGAATCAGAAAAACATTTCAAAATAGAAAAGTATAAAAAGTCAAATACAAAAACGTTCCCAAAGATTGCACGTCTCCGTTTCCTCCACAAGAACCTGAAGTTTCTGAAACAGCAGCAGCTTCTTCCTCCGACAGCCCCCCTTACTGTGGTTCCTCTCTGTCGGACTCCTGGTCTTCCTCCGTCCCCCCTTACTGTGGTTCCTCTCTGTCGGACTCCTGGTCTTCCTCCGTCCCCCCTTACTGTGGTTCCTCTCTGTCGGACTCCTGGTCTTCCTCTTCGCCCCCCTGTCTGAAGTCCATGCGAGCGAGCAGTGCCTCGGCCTCCTGGGTGTCCAGGCTCAGGTGCTCCATGCTCTCGTAGCCCGGCTCGGGTCTCTGCAGCTGGGCCGCCCGGGCCGCCTGCTGGACCTCCTTCTGCAGCTGCTTGGCGGCGAGTAGGAACTCAGCGGCGCTGCAGGACTGCAGGCTCTGCGAGACCTTCTCCTGCAGCTGGTTGCTGAGCTGCAGCTGCTGCTTGTACTGGTCTGCCAGGCTCCTGAGCGTGGACACCTTCTGCTGCTCCACCTGGGAGATCTGCTCCAGGAGCTGGCCTTTACGTTCCTCCAGGATGGCGTACAGCAGGTCGAAGCTCTCGCCCAGCCGCCTCTTCTTCAGCTCTCCGTTCTCCTGGATCAGCTTACACGTGTCGTCCATCTGCGCCATGATGGTCTGGACGCAGCTGTTTCCCGTGGCGAGCAACTCCACGGCTGAGCGCAGCTCGTTCTTCTGGCTCTGGTAGACGGCGTGCAGCGGCGACACCTCACAGTCTTTGTGCTGTCCGAACACCTTGCACATGGAGCAGGTGGGCGTCTGGCAGGTGACGCAGTAGATGTTGATGTGTTCGTCCTCGTGCTCCTTACACTTCAGCTCTTTGGCGTCTTTGTCCTTCAGGGGGGGGTCCTCGGGGTCGCCCCCCCGGCTCTCCTGCTGCTGCTTGTAGATGTCAATGATGTTCTCCACCAGCAGGTTCCTCTGCAGCCCGTAGACCCCGTGCCGGTCCAGGACCACCTCGAAGCGGCAGGTGGGGCAGCGGAAGGTCCCCCCGGAGTAGTGGTAGGGGTTCTTGGACTCGTAGAGGTCATTGGCGCAGCCGCGGCACAGGTTGTGCTGGCAGGGCAGGATCACCACCGGCTTGGTGAACATCTCGAGGCAGATCGGGCAGCTGAGCTGCGCCTCCAGACTCTCCATGGCGCCGACAGGGCGCACCACCTGACCCGTCTGGATGTCCATCTTAGTATTCTGGTCCTTTGCTGTCTCTGTAGGTCCGTGTTCTCTGTAGGTCCTGGTCTCTTCCTCTGTGGTTTATTTCTGTCTGCCGGCTTCAGAAGGCTCTGAGCCTTTATACCCCCAGGGAGGAGACACCCGACCCCCCCGCCGGCTGTTTGTCAGCCTGGTCCGGAGAAAATAGCCTCGCCCCCCCCTCCTGCTGCTGCACATGCCGGACCAGGACCGTGAAGTCTGTTTACACGCCACATGTTTACACTTAACACTGTCCCGACGTGTTTCATCATCTTCATCACACGTTAAGGTATCGATCAATGATTTGATATCAACATGTACACATGATGAGAGCAGCCGGCAGCCAGAACAACAAACAACAAACAACAAAACAAAAACAAACACACGGTCCCACATGAGATTCATTATGATGATCTGTATTATTATTTATTATTACAGACCGCTGATTCAATCAGAGTTCATGACGTCGGTCACATGAAGCAGACAGGACGTTCCCCCTGAGAGTGTGTGTGTGTTGCACAACAGCAGCGGTGTGTCCAGTAAACAGTCAGTCATGTGTTGAACAAACAGCTGCAGCCTGTTGATGTTGATGTTCAGCTCGGTGTTGTTGTGACAGACAGACGGGAAACTGGAACGGGGTCAACTCGGGCTTGACATCTCCGACTTCTGAGCTAAATGAACGCACCATTGGTCCCAAAATCCTGGATCCTACATTTCCCATGATGCACCTGCATGGTGTCTTTAGGTCCGTGTGACTGGACTCCATGCTGGACTGAAAATAAGGCATGCTGGGTAGAAAGTTTGTCTGACTTTCATCGGCGCTGCAAAACGTCACCACGTCACATGGCGGCTGCAGTCGCCAAGTCAGTCAAGGTAGAACGTGTCCAACTTGCGGCGGTGTGTTTATCCTGCTGCAGTCAGCCTCAGTCATCTTGAACACACCTTTCCATTGGAGCTCCCAGCTACACAGCCACAGACTGATGACATCACTGTGACATCATCAGGGTCATTGTCATTGGTCGGAGGAGCCCTGTTGTTTCCACAACATCATCCCCACAGACCAAACCCCTTGGCTAAAACAGCCATTTTAATGCTGCCGTCTTCTGGCCCCCGATGCTGGTCTCTAAAGATCTGGTCTCGTGTTCACAGATGATGAGCTGCTGCCTGGATTTTTCTTCCAGGTCAGCCCTCGTTGTTTCTGCTGCATCCACTGGACTCTTTTTCAGTCGTTAAAAGCAGCAGAACATCTCTCCTTAAATCTGCCTTTTCACCAGTGGAGTTCTGAATGGGCCGTAAATACAGGACAGGAAGTTTCACTCTTCAGCCACCAGGTGTCCCACTTCACCTGTTCTTCGCCTGGAGCCTGGAGAATATTATGAATCCTTGGCTGGGAAATAGTCATTCTATGGGTCCTTGAGTTATTTCCAGGGGTCTTGCTGATGTTCCAGGAGTGCTTGAGTAACTAAGGGGTTCTTGCCTATTTAATGCATAATTATGTAAATGTCTAAAACATGACGAGACAAAAACTACCAGAACAAATGAAAATGCTTATTTTAGTAAATCACAGATCCTGAGACAGTGAAACGTCCATTCAGAGCTTTACTAACGTTAGGCACCAGATTTCCACCAGCCTGGTGAACACACAGGTCCTCTTTACCTCACCGCAGCTGACCAGCAGCGTTTCACTGATAGATCCTGATAACATGTTGTATCAGCTGCTCTGTCTCTGGCTTCCTGTCCTCACCGTGTCGCTCAAACTTCTGCAAACATTTTCACTATTAGTAAAAAGGTAAAGGCTAAGGAAGGCCCGGAAAGGCTCCAGGGGGCCTTGAGGAGGAAATGGGGTCCTTAAAGAGGGGCCAGGAGTCTCTGAGGTTAGAGTTATAGCGTTCCAGGAGTCTGCCTGGAGGTTCTGTAATCCTTGAAAAAGTTCCAAGCATCCTTAAACGTGTTTAGTTGTCCTTGAGTAAGTTCCAGGGGGCCTTGAGTCTCATGTTGAGAGTCTGAGCCGTCTCATGTCCATTTTCACCTGACCTGACAGCAGCTGTGGTGAAGCAGATCTGCTCTGGTGGACTTCTTGATGTGTTCCTGCAGGACCAGGATCAGGTAGTTCTGAGTTAGAACCTGATGATGTGACGACTGTTACAGGAAGTCGTCACATCATCTGTGGATCCACATGGCCAGCAGGCTGAGGGTTGGCTGATCCCAGGGAAGTCCTGCCTGGTCCCGCCTCCCACGCCGGATTAGAGCGGTCCAAAAACCCTGCTCCAATCCCCAAGCTGCCTGTAGGACCCCCTTCAGGTTCCCTGGCCGAACTGCCGCTGTGCGCTGGGCCCTGAGTCCTGAGTGTCTTCTGTTAACGGTGGCTTTGTTTGTGGGTTTGGCCTTGAGACACTGAAGTCCTGTGTGCTGCCAGTTGAAGTGTTTCCTGAGAGTCGGGACCACTTCCCATCTGAACCAAGTGATCTGTTCTCTGTCGGGTCTGCAGGGCCGGGGTTCCCTGTGTTTTCAGGATCTCGTTGGTTATAGTCCGGTCTTTGTTTCCTCTGTTTTTACCATCTGGTTCCCGCCTGCTCTGACCCTGCCGAGCGGGGACGTTTCTAATAAATCCTGTTACACCGTGCTGCACTGTGATTGGTCGATGAAAAGTCTTTTCCATGTGATCTTTCATGTTCCTGCCGATCAAAATGTTACAGACGGATGTGTTCTCTGCATGTTCTAACAAACGGGGGCGGAGAACTTTTCTAAAGACTCATAAAGTGAAACTAATCCTGACTTCAGAAACCCGATTGCTCTCTGATCCTGGTCTCTACAGGTCGACGGGGTCAGCGTGTGGACATACCACATCTATGTTAAAGCTGCAGGAGCGTTAGAGGGGCCCTCGCACGTGAAGCGCGTCGGGGCCCTGATGACGCTGCACGGAGGACTTAATCGCTGCCTGTGTCCCCTGCGGGGCGCTACAGAGCACCCGCTATCTATGAGTCAGACCCGGAACACATCGTGGACACCCATCACGTGATGGAGCTCACGTCCTGCTGGCAGCAGGTGGCGCTCTGACTGTGGGGGCGGGGCTCTTATCAAACAGGATTCTTCTCGGTACCAAAGGTGCGATTTAAAGTTTCTGCGTTTCTGGGCCGATGTTTTGACGTCCGGACTCTCAGGAGCCGTTTAGACCGGAGAAGCTGTGAAGGTCCCGTCTGTCGGACGCAGCGGCTCTGAGGACCGAGGAAAGGTTAGTGAACGTGAACGTCTTCCTCTTCACCCCGCCGCCACACCTTCTTCTTCTTCTTCTGCGGTGGACTTTCATTCCTCACGGCCGGAGGAGCGTGAAGAGAACCTCTCCATCCGCTTTCTGTCTGAGGCCCCTGAACGCATCGCTCAGAGGAAGCTGTTTGTTTCTGAACGCCACCTTTATTTTGAAAAACGCCCCCTGATCTCAGCCAATCAGACGCCAGGACTTCAGGTAACCGTGGAGACAGCCAGTCTGGTGCGGCACGTGAGGAATGTGCTGATGGTAAACACCAGCTCACGCCGGGGTCAAAGGTCAGATTATTCACAGAGACGTGTTTGGTTTGTTCTTCTTCTGTGGTGGCAAAGGGGCAACGGCCAATCAGCTGCCAGAGAGCTGCTGCTGGTCCCCAGGGGCTCCAGGGGGCCTGGAGAAGGGTTCATCTTCCTCAAGGAGAACTATTTATAAGTTCAGGAGGTTCAAAAAGGCCTGGAAAATATTCCAGGGGTTCTTGAAGATCCTCTAGGACCTTTCCAGGGGGTGCAAAGGATGATGGGAAATCACTACTAGTCCAACTCACAAACTTTCAGCTGTAAAGGTTAAAACAGCAGGAAACTGAATGGAGTTCTGCAGAGAAAGGAGTCTTCACCTCCTCAGAGTCTGAAACAGGAGAAGACATATAAAATTACAACCCAACAATTAATGACATACAGCAGTAAGATAGAAAAACAACACAGTTAGATACAAAACAGATAAATAACGACACAGGTGCCCCTTCTCAAACGCCAAAGAACGTAAAGTAGAGCTTAAAGTCGTGTTTTTCAGCACAGAGTTTGGTCTGAGCGTAACCAGACTAAGAGTTTCCAGGGTCCTTGAAGGCAGAAAGTTGTGATTAAAGCGTCTCGGCAGTGACACACGTGTTTGCACTTGTGCACTTGTGAGGACCCTCATGCACGTCCTACATTCTTCAGCCTGAGCAGAAAGCTTCAAACACACCTTCAAAGACCTGGTCCTCACAAGGATACCAATACACAGAGAGAAGAGGGGGGCCGGGGGGCCCTGCGGGGCCCCATGCTGCAGAGACAGAAGGATCACAGAGACTCAGTCTGTCAGTCACAACTCCTGCTTTCTACTTCAAACAAAGAGTTTAAAAAGCAGGCGTTTTTAAATGGAGTCTGGTTAGAAGGGCTGTGAGTGAACTGGACCCTGGTGTGAGCGGCCCTTGAGAAGTTACCAGAGCTCATTCAAATGGTTCCATGGTGCTTGAAGAGCTTCACCCTTGGGAACCTTGAGGACTGTCAGAGATTCTTGAAAACATCTAATGTCCTTGAGAAAGAACCAGGTGCCAGAGGTCCTTCCAGGGGTCCTTGAAATGGTACCCAGGGTCCTTGAACAGGGGCAAGGTGCCCTTAAGCAGGTTCAAATGTCTCTGTGAAGGTTATATGGCCCTTGAAGATGCCTTGAAATATTCCAGATATGTTTCAAAATGCTCCAGGGGTCCTTGAGTGAGTTGCTACGGTTACTTACAGTTTGGTACTTATTTTCACAGACAGCCAATCAGGGAGCAGGATTCTGCTGTTTCCTTCAGACTTTGTTTACTCTTCATTCTCAGGCCTGGAGCTGCTCTGGTTGTCACGGTAACGCCGCCCCGGGTCCAGAATGAGGCCCCTGTGTGTAATCCTGCAGATCCTCCACTCAGACCGCCCCCCTTTGTCCCTGTGACATCAGACACTCAGCACTTGTTCATTTGTCCTCAAACAACAAGCTGCAGACAGAAACCCATTCAGAATACGCTCGTTTTAAGCTGCTTTATTTCACCAGTGAATTAAAGCAGGACCGGTTCATAATATTAAACTGTTCATTCTTTATTACAATATTTTCTTTGAGCACAAAAGAGTGAAGAAGTTCTAGATCCTGAAACTTTGTCCAGATCAGGTTTGAGTGTTTTTAACAAGCTAATAAGACTGAAAATTAAACTAAAAGTCATGTTTCTTTACACAGAGTCTGGTGCAAACAGAAATAAATTCATGTATGGAAGAATGTTTTTAAAGGTCCTTGAAGAGGTTTCTGTGGTCCTGAAGCGGGTCCTGGGCGAGCTTCCAGGAGTTCCAAACTGGTTCCAAAACATCTTGAAAATGTTCCAGGAGACCTTGAAGACGTTTCTTTCTCAATCAGATCTGAGTATTTTGAACAACCTGCTGTAAGAGGAGTAAAATTAACTAAAATAGGTGTTTTTAAAACAGAGTTTGGTTAGTTTTCTTCTTTGTGTTTTAATGCAGCAGAACAGAAAATTAAACTTTTAGCGAATCACGTAAACATTGGTCTGAATTAAATTAAATTAAATTAAATTAAATTAATTGTTTCCTCTCAATCTCAGTCTGTCTGTCTGTCGGTCTGCAGGTGAGCCCACCTGTCCTCTGGTCCTGGTTTTGGGATCAGAGTGGCGCCTCTGTATGACTTCCCAGCTCTGTGATCTTCAGCTGTCACACCTGCAGCTGATGATCACACAGGTGTGTCTCCAGACAGGTAAACACTCTCATTCACCGAGAGCTTTGAAGCTGGACAGGCAGAGACACGGTCACAGGGACCAAACTCTGTGCAAAGATCAGTCAATTTTACTTCTCTCCTGCTGCAGAAACACAGTGAGTCGACCCTTTACAGTAAACAGAGCACTGTCCGTACACCTACACTGTCGTGGTTTGGAAGATGTTCCAGGATCCTTGAAAATGTTTCCAGGACCCTTGAAGATTGTCCAGAAGAGATTATTTTGCCAAACTAGACCTTTAATGATTTGCTCATTTACAATTAGAACTGAAATGAATGTTATTTCGTTTGGTGTGAATCATCAGTTTGTAGAAACTTTTAAAAGGTTCCAGCTTTTACACATTAAAGCTGCTGCGTTTCACACAAATGATCTTAGCTGTTAACGCTGCTCTCCGATTGGCTGTTCCCGCTCTGATTGTGCATGTGACTAATCATGTCACATGCACGTCGTTCCCAAAACATTCACTCTGAGATCTGGCTTACGTTTCTTTATTTTACACTCAAATGTACACGTTTACATTCACGCTAACATGTGATATATACACACACACATTTTATTTTATCATAAACATTGGAGCCACAAAACATGAAGAAAAGTTAAGTAAAAATGTTATTATTTCCTTGAAGAGGTTTCCAAAGGTCCTTGAAGACATTCAAGGAATCCTTGAAGACGTGCTACTGTTAAATCAAGTTTTCAACAACCGAAAAGTGAAAATTGGACCTAAAATTCCTCTTTTTTTGCACAGAGTTTGGTCTGAGTATCTCTTTCTTTTAAAATTTATTTATTTTATCTCACAGTTAAACTTCAGGCTGATTCAAACGGTTTCAAGGCTCCAGAATAAAGTTTCTGCTGAGACTTCAGTTGTTCTTCGTGTGTCGACTCGTTCTTGGAGTTTGATTTTTAAAGAGTAAAGTCAGCAGATGAAATATATTCACAGAATATAAAGTTTCACACACTTGTGTTCTTCTTCAGTGCGTCTGCAGCGCCGTGTTTTCTTCTTCTGTGGTGGCTCTGACTGTGAGGAGGACCAACACAAGGTAAACTGATCGTGAAAGTCTAAAAGTTAATGTGATCAATAATATCTCATTATGTCAGCGAGCAGTTTGAACACAGTTTAACAGGGAAACACATTTTATCATTTATTTATAAACGTTTAAATGTTTCGTCTGAAGAGCAACTTCAGATACATGACAACATGCAAATACTGAAGTACAAGTATGATACATTTGTACTTAAGTACTCTGACTTTTGACCTGTTTCTGTCTGGGACTGATATCCACGGTTCAGTTTCAGTTGGACTCCGAGCCAAACGTGGTCCTCTCAGTAGTTTTGGGGACATAAAGCTCGAGTCTTTGTCAGTCCGAAGACTCATTCATAAGTCCTGAAGTTTTTATCAGGATGTTCAGACCATCAGCTGGGGTCCTGCTGGTCCAAGCTGGGACCAGGTACAACAAGTACTAAGAAGTGTCTTCAGTGTGTCGGAGCATCAGCTGGGGTCCTCCTGGTCCAGCTGACGGTCCAAGCTGGGACCAGGTACAACAAGTTCTAAGAAGTGTTTCCAAGTCTGAAGAACGCTGTTGTCAGTTCCCACCCCCGAGCGCTTTGAGGAATGCGAGGGAGGCTGAAGTGGACTACCTGTTCACACCGGGACGCTGTTGTCCATCGTCACCCCCGAGTACTCTGTCTCGGAGGCCTGCGAGCCGTCGATGAGCCTGGCGAGCCCGGTCTTTGTGGAGTACTTGAAGATGAAGGCCTTCATGAGGTCGTAGCGGTAGTTCCTGTTGAGGAGGTTGTACAGAACCGGGTTGATGCAGCAGTGCAGTAGCGAGAAGCACTGGGTCAGGTGCAGCGCCACGTCCAGAAAGTTCTCCAGCCTGCAGCTGAAGGGCAGTACGCCGAGCAGCGACACCGTGTCCAGCAGGAGAACGGCGTGGAACGGCAGCCAGCAGGCCAGGAACACCACGATGTAGGCGAGGATGATCCACCGGCTGACGCGGCGCTCCTGGTCCGAGCCGGGAGGGATCGCCGCCGCTAGGAGAAGGTAGAAGACGGCGATGACTGGGAACGGGATGGCGAAGCCGAGCACGATGGAGCTCAGCTGGATGCCCACCATCCATTCCCGAGGGTTGCTGGACGGGTACACCGGACGACAGACTGCGGCGCCGTCATAGTGCGAAGACTTGACCACCTGCAGAAAGTAGGTGTCGGGGACGGAGGCCGCCAGCGCCAGCAGCCAAACCAGGACGCAGATCAGGCGCCGCACCACTTTCTTCCTTCGGCTGTCGGAGGTGTCGGCCAACAGCGTGACGGACAGGTAGCGGTCCACGCTCATGCAGGTGAGGAAGAAGATGCTGCTGAAGAGGTTGATGCTGAAGACCAGGTGGGTCAGTTTACAGACCGCCTCCCCAAACGGCCAGCGACCGCCCTGCAGCAGCGAGGTCACCCACACGGGCAGCGTGGCCACAGCGCACAGGTCAGCCACGGATAGGTTCAGGACGTACAGGTGCGTCTCGTAGCGCCTCTTGTCGCAGCGCAGGTTGACCCAGACCACCAGGGCGTTGGCGGCGAGGCCCACCAAGAAGATGAAGATGTACAGGACGGAGAGGACGTGGAGGAAGGCGGCGTGGCTGACTGCGCCCGAACACTGCAGCGTCTCCACATGGGACAGGTTGTAGTGGTCGGCGGCGGTCAGGTTTAGCTCCTCCCACAGCTCCATGAGCTCGTTAAGGTCTACGGCGCTCAGACTCATTGTGGCGTGGTCCACTTGACACCTGGAAAACATGAAGAGATGGATCAAGACATAATTAATGATGACCTCACCGATGGCGGCACATTATTACATCACTTCCTGTAGTTTAAAGTCGTGACGTCTTCACGTTTCTCTCTCAGCTTCAAATAAAATAATAAAAAATAATAAATCAATAAAATAAACGTGATGCCAGACGCCATTTAAAAATTAATTCAAATTAAAGATTCTGAAAAACGTGGAAGATCGTTGGTCAAACTTTTGACCTGATAAAATCTGTAACGCTCATTGATCGCTGACATTTTATTGACTCTTAAACGGCGTTCTTCTTCTTCTGGATAATATCTGCTTTGTGTTGCTGCAGGTGATAAAACGCTGAATGACCCATCGTTAACCTGACCTCACTCACTCACTCACTCACTCACTCACTCACTCACTCACTCACAGTAACACACACTCACTCACAGTAACACACACTCACTCACAGTAACACACACTCACTCACAGTAACACACACTCACTCACAGTAACACACACTCACTCACACACTAACACTCACTCACTCACACACTAACACTCACTCACTAACACACACTAACACTCACTCACTCACACTAACACTCACTCACTCACACTAACACTCACTCACTCACTCACTCACACTAACACTCACTCACTAACACTAACACTCACTCACACTAACACTCACTCACTAACACTCACACTAACACTCACTCACTCACACACTAACACTAACACTCACTCACTCACACTCACTCACTCACAGTAACACACACTCACTCACTCACAGTAACACACACTCACTCACACACTAACACTCACTCACTAACACACACTAACACTCACTCACTCACACTAACACTCACTCACTCACACTAACACTCACTCACTCACACTAACACTCACTCACTCACTCACACTAACACTCACTCACTCACTCACACTAACACTCACTCACTAACACTCACACTAACACTCACTCACTAACACTCACACTAACACTCACTCACTAACACTCACACTAACACTCACTCACTAACACTCACACTAACACTCACTCACTAACACTCACACTAACACTCACTCACTCACACACTAACACTCACTCACTCACTCTAACACTCACTCACTCACTCACTCACTCACTCACACTAACACTCACTCACTCACACTAACACACTAACACTCACTCACACAGTAACACTCACTCACTCACTCACACTAACACTCACTCACTCACACTCACTCACTCACACACTCACTCACTAACAGTAACACTCACTCACACACTCACTCACTAACAGTAACACTCACTCACACACTAACACTCACTCACTCACACTCACTCACTCACACACTCACTCACTAACAGTAACACTCACTCACACACTAACACTAACACTCACTCACTCACACTCACTCACACACTCACTCACACACTCACTCACTCACTCACTCACTCACACTAACACTCACTCACTCACTCACACTAACACTCACTCACTCACTCACACTAACACTCACTCACTCACTCACACTAACACTCACTCACTCACTCACACTAACACTCACTCACTCACTCACACTAACACTCACTCACTCACTCACACTCACAGTAACACTCACAGTAACACTCACAGTAACACTCACACTAACACTCACTCACTCACTCACACTAACACTCACTCACTCACTCACACTAACACTCACACTAACACTCACACTAACACTCACTCACACAGTAACACTCACACTAACACTCACTCACACTAACACTAACACTCACTCACACTAACACTCACACTAACACTCACACTAACACTCACTCACTCACTCACTCACACTAACACTCACTCACTCACTCACACTAACACTCACTCACTCACACTAACACTCACTCACTCACACTAACACTCACTCACTCACACTAACACTCACACTAACACTCACTCACTCACTCACACTAACACTCACTCACTCACACTAACACTCACTCACTCACACTAACACTCACTCACTCACACTAACACTCACTCACTCACACTAACACTCACTCACTCACACTAACACTCACTCACTCACACTAACACTCACTCACTCACACACTAACACTCACTCACTCACACACTAACACTCACTCACTCACACACTAACACTCACTCACTCACACACTAACACTCACTCACTCACTCACACTAACACTCACTCACACTCTCACACTAACACTCACTCACACTAACACTCACTCACACTAACACTCACTCACACTAACACTCACACTAACACTCACACACTAACACTCACTCACTCACTCACACTAACACTCACTCACTCACTCACACTAACACTCACTCACTCACACTAACACTCACTCACTCACACTAACACTCACTCACTCACACTAACACTCACTCACTCACACTAACACTCACTCACTCACACTAACACTCACTCACTCACACTAACACTCACTCACACTAACACTCACACTAACACTCACACACTAACACTCACTCACTCACTCACACTAACACTCACTCACTCACTCACACTAACACTCACTCACTCACACTAACACTCACTCACTCACACTAACACTCACTCACTCACACTAACACTCACTCACACTAACACTCACTCACACTAACACTCACTCACACTAACACTCACTCACTCACACTAACACTCACTCACTCACTCACACTAACACTCACTCACTCACTCACACTAACACTCACTCACTCACACACTAACACTCACTCACTCACACACTAACACTCACTCACACTAACACTCACTCACACTAACACTCACTCACACTAACACTCACTCACTCACACTAACACTCACTCACTCACTCACACTAACACTCACTCACTCACACACTAACACTCACTCACTCACACACTAACACTCACTCACACTAACACTCACTCACTCACTCACACTAACACTCACTCACTCACTCACACTAACACTCACTCACTCACTCACACTAACACTCACTCACTCACTCACACTAACACTCACTCACACTAACACTCACTCACTCACTCACACTAACACTCACTCACTCACTCACACTAACACTCACTCACTCACACTAACACTCACTCACTCACACTACACTCACACTAACACTCACTCACTCACTCACACTAACACTCACTCACTCACACTAACACTCACTCACTCACACTAACACTCACTCACTCACACTAACACTCACTCACTCACTCACACTAACACTCACTCACTCACACACTAACACTCACTCACTCACACACTAACACTCACTCACTCACACACTAACACTCACTCACTCACACTAACACTCACTCACTCACACTAACACTCACTCACTCACACACTAACACTCACTCACTCACACACTAACACTCACTCACACACTAACACTCACTCACACACTAACACTCACTCACTCACTCACACTAACACTCACTCACACTAACACTCACTCACACTAACACTCACTCACTCACACTAACACTCACTAACACTCACACTAACACTCACTAACACTCACTCACTCACTCACACTAACACTCACTAACACTCACTAACACTCACTCACTCTCACACTAACACTCACTCACACTAACACTCACTCACTCTCACACTAACACTCACTCACACTAACACTCACTCACACTAACACTCACTCACACTAACACTCACTCACTCACACTAACACTCACTCACTCACACTAACACTCACTCACTCACACTAACACTCACTCACTCACACTAACACTCACTCACTCACACTAACACTCACTCACTCACACTAACACTCACTCACTCACACTAACACTCACTCACTCACACTAACACTCACTCACTCACACTAACACTCACTCACTCACACTAACACTCACTCACTCACACTAACACTCACTCACTCACACTAACACTCACTCACTCACACTAACACTCACTCACTCACACTCACTCACACTCACTCACACTCACTCACACTCACTCACACTAACACTCACTCACACACTAACACTCACTCACACAGTAACACTCACACTAACACTCACACTAACACTCACTCACTCACTCACACTAACACTCACTCACTCACTCACACAGTAACACTCACTCACTCACTCACACTAACACTCACTCACTCACACAGTAACACTCACACTAACACTCACTCACACTAACACTCACACTAACACTCACACACTAACACTCACTCACTCACACTAACACTCACTCACTCACACTAACACTCACTCACTCACACTAACACTCACTCACTCACACTAACACTCACTCACTCACACTAACACTCACTCACTCACTCACACTAACACTCACTCACTCACACTAACACTCACTCACTCACTCACACTAACACTCACTCACTCACACTAACACTCACTCACACTAACACTCACTCACACTAACACTCACTCACTCACACTAACACTCACTCACTCACTCACACTAACACTCACTCACTCACACTAACACTCACTCACTCACTCACACTAACACTCACTCACTCACACTAACACTCACTCACTCACACTACACTCACTCACTCACACTAACACTCACTCACTCACACTAACACTCACTCACTCACACTAACACTCACTCACTCACACTAACACTCACTCACTCACACTAACACTCACTCACTCACACTAACACTCACTCACTCACTCACACACTAACACTCACTCACTCACTCACACACTAACACTCC